CTTCTCCAGGCGTGCGCTCGGACCACGAGGGTTCGGACGCGAATCCGGCTGCGGGGACGAGGGCAGGGCAACGGTACCCTGGCCTCTCTCCCATCTCTGACCCCCTCACTGGCGCGCGGAGCACGCTGGGGGCGGCGCCAGAAGAGCCCCCAGGTGGGCCCAGCGCGGATCCTAAAAAAACCGCATATTTAGCCCTCCCCTCGCGTTGTCGATCCCACCCCTTTGCACATCCGTATCACCGAACATGTTTAATTAACTGCCGAGGGAGGGAACCGCCGAGCGATATCCTTAGCGCCGAAAAACGCACATGAACTCCTGGGGAACGGAAGGGGGGAGTATCAGGAGTCTTCGGAAATCACTCCAGGATCCTACAGGGACCTGAAGGAACTGGCAAGAATCCTCAGGAACCCTTCATGGATCATTCTGGGTGCCACAAGAATCTTCAGGAACCCGCAACAGGAATTCGCAATAATCTACAAGGATCCCCACGAATCCTCCCGGATCAAACAGCAATCCTTCAAAAATCTTCAGCACTGCGCAAGAAATCCGTCAGGAATTCTCAGGAATCCTTCAGGAATCCTTCATGAACCTACAAGAACCCAACACATTTCTCAACAAACCTTCAGGAACATTGCAGCGATCTTCACGAAATCCCTTGGGAATCCATTGAACATCCGCAAGATTACTTCGGGGATCATGCTGGAATCCGCAACGCAAGACGGCCGCGCAGGTCACGTTTCTCCATCCTCCCCCATTCTTCATTGCCTCCAGGGGCTATCGGGTCGGGCGAAAGGGGGGGATAGCAAAGGGGGGGTTTGAGAATCAGCTCACGTAGCTGATTTTCCCGGCGTCTCCCGGCGCCGGAGGCGCCCATGTATCGAGGAATGGGCCCGGCGGCGGGGCCGAAACCAGCTGCATGCAGCAAATTTCGTAACCCCCCCTTTCCCTATCCCCCCCTTTCGCCCTGCCCGGGGCTAACTATCGACGGCCCCAATGATTGCGGAAAACACCGAGGACGAGAAAGGGCGAAGAGAACACGGAAGAAGAGGACCAGGAGGGAAAGCAGGCTGCGGATGGCACGTTTGCGCTGCGAGCGTGAACGTGTCAATCTCAAGATCACCCATCACTGCCTGTCGCAATTCGAGAGCAATTGCATGTTTTATCGGACCTCCGTTTGAGCACGGCACTCAGAGCGACACGCACGGAATCGATAACGCGCCGGGGGGGGTGATTTTTCTTTTGCAGTCCTGAGCATTCCTGAAGACTCTTGTGGGATCATGGAAACTCTTGAAGGATGGTCGGCTTAAGCACTTAACTATTCCTGGTGTATCTGATGTTTGCGTTTCCTTCAGACTCCTGGCAAATTCTCAAAAACGTTCCTGCGAGGATACCTGAAGGACTCCTGAGAAATCGTCCGGGATGCTGCGGGTTTCGGCAAATTCCTGCTGGTTTCTGAAAACCTGGCAAGTTCTGGGCGGTTCCTCCAGAGAAGCTCAAACAATTTGGCAAAACCCCGTGGCAATTTCAAACAAATCCTGCAAGTGCCGGCCGGGATCCAACATTCCAGCGGGCTTCCTAAAGGTTCCTTCGGATGCCGGGGGTGCCGTGAGGATGCCGGGGGTGCCGTGAGGATCCCGGAGGTGTCCTGAAGGTCAGGCTGTCCCCGGCTGTCTTGGGTTTTAGGCCGTCCCGGATTGTCTTGGGCCTTTGTGGGCCCCGGAAACGGCAGGGCCGTTTTTTCACCGTTTCCAAAAAAAATGTTCATTGAAAATGGAAACGGCAAAAAAAACGGCGACCGGAAACGGCAAAAAAACGGCTCCAAGATCGGAACTGGAGCCGGAACCGGTCAAAAAACGGCTACGGAACCGGTAAAACAACGGCAAAACGGAACCGGCGACAAAAACGGTAACACGGAACCGGTAAAAAAACTGCCCGGTCGTTTCCAGGGCCCACTAAGCCTTGGGCCACCTTGGGTCGGGCTGTCTTGGGCCCCATGCGCTCTCGCTGCTGTCTCTCACCGAGTGCAACCGCGCAGAGAGGGGGCGCCTGGCCCGTTGCACGAGCTACACAGCACAGCGACCAGGGCACTTCCCTGGCCACACATGCCCCCCCCCCCGCTGACCACACCCCACTCCCTCAGCATTTCGGGATCCTCTGGGCTTCTGCACAATCTTGGAGGTTCCTGCAGGTTCCTGGGGGAATCCTGGAGGGCTCCTCCACAGGAGTTCTGGAGATTCTGGAGAGATGCCTGCCGACCCTAGAAAGATTGCTGAAGACCCCTTGTCCGATTCACTCGGGATTCCTAAAGATGCCTACGGGCTCCGTAAGGCTCCTGAAGTTTCGCGCGGATCCGAGCGGTATCCTCAACATGTGTGTGGATGCTGACGGTTCCCCACAGGGAGCTACGTGAGATGGATCCTTGCGGCACTCCTAGAAAGACTCAGTCTCACCGTCTGGACGGATCCTCGCGGTTCTCCTCGCGTCACATATCATGTTAGTTCCCTCGGCGACCCCGGAAGACCCCCCCATTCCTAGAAAGATCGCCTTCCCCCCAGCACCGACCACGACTTTTAGCGCCGGTATTCCGGAGTCCTTCGGAGCTGAGTGGTCGGGGGAGCGGGGGGGGTATGAGGCGACGGGAATGATTGATTTCTTCTGAACAGATGAGGAGTCCTGAAGATCTGTCCTCTTCTGTTGAGTGCAATGCTGAACCGCTCGCTGGTTTAGTTGATTGCGTGAACTCGAATTGTTCACTAATCTGAGAACATCGAGTCCGGATGGCAGCAAGCACTCTGGATCGCGGCATGAATGCGACACAAAGTAAGATTGTACAATCTAACAAAAGACGATTCCCATATCGAGCCTGAACAACACAATATGCAAATACGAATGCCCAACATAACTTCGAAGACTGAATTGCGAAACAAATGTTGCACGTATGTTCTTAAGAGGCCATCATGGTATGATATCTTGTGATATCAAAAGCGCCTCTTATTGCGCGCTGGTGCGCAATACGGAAACAACTGAGGAATGGCACATTTACTGTCGAAAACTGTCGAAAGCTGAATGGTGGAAACCATGCGTTCAACTCATATTTTGACCCCCCCCAATGGAACAACTTCTGGCGCAATGCAGCTCTTCGATGGACGTGCGGGCATTCTCTCGCGAGCGCAATAAAAGAAACAATCAAACATGGCAGCCCGTATTCGAATACTGAGTGGTGAAAGCTAACTGCTGACCTCGCTTTTTGAAGGCGTCAACAAGGAATTATGTATGTATTCGTGATAAGCTGTCCGTATTGCGCGCACGTGCGCGCGCGCACGCCCAATACAAACATCGATGTGGAATGGTTATTTGAAATTGCAATGCGGAATGCTGGAAACATGTTGTTTCACTCGTGTTCTGGGGGTGCCCAACGTGCAATAGTTACTGCATTGCGACATCATGCGCTTTATTGCTCTTGCGCGCGAACGCGCGCGAGAAAGAAAGAACGCCGGTCGCCTCACCTTAGGTACATTCATGTTGAGACCTTCACCATCCGGTGTTGCAAATCAACGTGGACATTCCAAATTGACTGTGGCCTGTGGCCTCGCGCACGCTGCATCGTACCATGTTGGGAACTAGGGCACGCGTGAAACGAGTAGAAGTGTGTCATGCCCGGGTGGTCTCGCATGGCGCACGCGAAGGCGCGTGCGCGCCCGCAGGGCGAAACGTCGCGCTTTGTTGCAATGGATCATCCCATGATGAGGCCCAGAATGCGACTATAAATGCGGCGTTCATCACCTATGTGCTGAGAACAAGTGGGCCCTCTCCTATTGTCTATCGTGTGAACGACACGCGCGCGCGTACGCGCGCGTCCGCGGGCACTGCTGAATTCTGCCTCGCCCGCACTATAGATGCTCTTCCATGTTAACACTGGAGCACGTACTGCGCCCCGTCATCGCGCGTGGGTGCCCCAGCGCCGCGGCCCGGCAGCTGCCATGGATCCCGCTGACGGGATTGGACGCGCCAGCACACTCAGGTGAGGACTCTTCAAAGTCTGAGTGGCCTTTTCTTGCCCCCCCTCCGCGGCCGCCCTCCCTGCCTTCTTCCCGCGCTGCACGCTGGCCAGATCGCTTCTCGGTGCCCCCGTTTTAGCTTTCTCGCCGGTGCAGCCACTTCTGCCTCGCCGCCGACGAACAAAAAAAAAACACGGGGACTCGGAGTGAACCCGTAACGGTGACCGACGAAATGTCGGGTGACACGCGCGTCCACTGCAGCGTCCAGAAGTTACAACAGAAGGAAGCGCCGTGCCGAGTCCGAATGGCGGCAGGCCTCCTGGCGAGCGGCACCGACTGCAGGGGAGCGGCGTGCGGCAGTTGCACATTCAACGCATCCTTTCCTCATCCTCATCCTCCTATCCTTCTCCTCCTCCTTCTCATCGTCGTCGCCATCATCATCGCAATCATCACCAACTTTCCGTTTTGGTCATAAAATGTTCGTTTGATCACTGGCGCGATTTCCATGTACAACATGAATTTCGGTTGCACCAAATTGCACACACGATAGAAAACACGGAATTCGCCTGCAACACGTTACGTTGTCTGTAAATCCGGAATCAAACAAGTGTACTTTGCTTGCACCAGGTTGCACTCACCGTGTATATATATATATATACACAAATATATACATGTGTTTATGTATATATATGGGTATCCAGGGAACTGGCAGCCATAACGAAATCCGTAAGGACCTTCGAGCATCTTCAGGATGTGCCCCAAATAGTCCGGATTCCTTCAGAAGTCCTGGAAGAATCCGATTGGAATCCGGTTGAGGGCGTAGGGGGATTATATAATGATCCTCTTGGGATTCCGCACTGGGGGTCTTGGGGGCGGAGCATCACATCCAGGAGCGGACGATGATATAGCTTCGCCGAAAAAGGAGGGCATTGGGCGATGACGCGTCCCAGACGCTACTCCTCCTCGACGCGTGGCCGAAAAAAAACCGGGCGGGGGGGCTGCCCAGCTCGATGGGCGGCTCGTACTTCTCCGGCAGCAGGTACAGCGGCCTCCGGGCCCACACGGCCAGCAGCGCGTCCAGCCTCTCCGGCGGGCGGGCTCTTCTCCAGCGCTCAAGCGCGCCGCGGGAACAGGAACATACGGAGGAGGAGGAGGAATACGAGGAGGAGGAGGAGGAGGAGGAGGAGGAGGAGGAGGAGGAGGGCGAGGAGGACGAGGAGGAGGAGAAGGAGGACGACGAGGAGGAGGAGGACGACGAGGAGGAGCTGCGACCGCTCGGGCGAGCCAGCAGCAGGAGAGGGAACGGGGCGCCGGAGGAGGCGGGTCCCGGACGCTGTCTTTCCCCCGGTGTTCCGGCACTCTGTCGGGGATGGACAGACCTCCCTTTAGTAAAACGTGGTTTAGTGAAAACGACCTGAGGCCCAAACCTGGCGGGCGCAGGCCTGGGAAATAACGGCCACGGCGCCCTCTCGAGAACCGAAAACGGACGATTCACTAATCGACGTGTCACTGTTGGGGGTTCTGTCCAGCCCCGAGTGCCCCAGGACATCGACGTTGTCTCCTCGGGGGCCCTCGCCTGTCCCATCGAAGGCCCCAGGAACGTCGAACTCCCGTGTCGAATCCATGCCGGACTCGTCGCATCCCGCGTCGAGCCCGCGTCGAAGACGCGCCAAATCCGCGCGGAGTCCGCCTCGGGCCCGCGCCTGGCACAAGAAAAAAGATGCGAATGCTGGGGACAGACAGAGCCCCCCGAAAATGCAACGCAACTCCACGTGCCCCAGGACCGTGGACTGGACGACTCGGGACGGAGGCAGGTCCCGGGGAAGGCCCCGAGGACGAGGACCCGTGCCTGGGAGGGCCCCCGTCGTGCGGAGGGCGAGCGAACGGGCGGGGTGAGCGGGCACGCCTGCAGAAGAGAGGGGAGGAGAGAGAGAGAGAGAGAGAGAGAGAGGGAGAGAGAAGAGGAGACGAACAAAAGACAGCAGCAAAAAACACAGAGAAAAGAGCGTGCAAGCCTGAGAGAGCAAGGGTGAGAGATCGCGGGCGAGTGGAAGAGCGAGACGGCGAGAGCGCGGAAGAGCGAGCAGGCAAGCGAGCGGCCACAAGGGGTGCGATCGAGCGAACAACCGAGCCCATGAATGAGCGCACGACCGCATCAACGAGTGAGCGAGACAGTTGGCAGGTCGTAGTCGTGGAGCCCCATTGCTTTGGTGACGAGCCCACCATCACAAAATCACAGCGCGAACACTGACGGGCGGGCACTTCATGTGAGCTGGTTTCATTGATTCTGAGAGATCAGCTGTGGCCAACGGCAAGCTACCTTATCGCAAGCGAACCACGTGTGGGGCGAGCGGATTCAAGACAACTGGGGGTGGAGGAAGAAAAGGGATGGGAAGATATGAAAGGGGAGAAAAGAAAGGGGGAACGGATATGGTGGAAAGAGTTGAGCACAGAGAAGCGTATGGGGAATAGAAGGAGATGCAAGGGGGAGACGTGCGGGAGCCATGGGGGAGGGAGGGGGGAAGGGCGGATATCGGGGACAAGTGGAAGAGGCGACCAGCGGGCGGACCCGTGGAAAGGAGGCCGGAATACATACATATATATATATATATATAGATACGTGTATATATGTATAAATACATATATATATATATATCAAAAACAGGGGTGGTCGACATACATACATATATTTATAGGTATACGACTCATCATGTATATAAATGTACACAAACCATATATCCATACAAAGAGACAGAGAGATACACACAGAAACAAGCATGTGCAAGGGCAAGAAGGGCGGCAAGGGCAGGTGGATGGTCGCAGGACGGTTCCAGCGCATGGACTGGAAACGGGGAATGCTGGGAGGTCGTGGAAAGCAGACAAGTGAGCATAGGACAATAAACCAAATAATGGGATGCGAAGACGGATAATGGGAATGGGTGGAGGGGCGCCCTTTCCTCTTCCTCCTCCTCCTCTTCCTCCTCCTCGATCCCCTGATCCCCTGGACAACACCCCTCAAAAACTCGCGTACCCACTCGAAGTCCCCCCCTTTGCGACAAACTCCAGGTCCCACTGGTAACTTGCCCTGAACGGGCTACACCAGAAACAAAGCATCCCAAATTAATAGATCACCCGTGTTCCTCCGATTCGTTCCACGAGGGACAGGACGATAAAAGGGAGAGGGAGAGAAACCGAATGAGAGAAGAACAGTATCATGTATATCTAGTGTACATATATGTACCAGAACCGAAAACGCGCGTCGTGCACTTATGTTCTACTCAAAGCAACGCAGCGTCACACTCACCGGCCGATGGGTACGCGTGCCATCCCACCATGATCGCCACGTGGGAGCATCTGCCCGCGGGCATACATATCTGAATGGCGCCACCTTCTTTTCAATCGATCGCACGGAGCTTGTCCTCAAGGAGCTCCACCTACGGCCCCACACTCATCTCGGCACACCCCTCAAAAAAATCGTGCCCCACAGGGAGCTCCAACTACGGCCCCATTGCATTGCGGCACACCCCTCACGTGGATGTGTTGCCCTGCTGGTAGTTGTAGTTAACACGGAAGTTTCAAATAGCGTCGCCCTACACACGCCAGCGCACCTCTCACACGGATCGTGAACTGTACGGAGATGCATAGTGCCCCCGCCGCTCATTGCGGCACTGTTTCGTCGGCGGCGAGGCGGCGAACTCCGCTCCAGCGAGAAGCTAGAAAAGGAACACTAACTAGCGAATTGGCCGGCGGGCAACGAGAGGGGGGGGACGGCCGACAGGCACAAGGGACGTTCATACGCCGAAGAGTTCGACGACGAGCACCAGGGGGGGACAGCAACAGCCAGGCGCGCAGGGCCAGAAAGACGGCGTCAAGAAACAGAAGAAACAGCTGGGAAAGGGCCGCGAGGAGCTCGCGGCGCTGGAGCTCCAGCGGCAGGAACTGGCCGCCAAGGCTGAGGGGGCGCGCGCCAGCATCCCGGAGGAGGGGGCCAGCACCGTGCGGCTCAAGAGCGAGCGGGCGGCGAGCATGGAGCGCGTGCCTTTGCCGCCTAGCCAGCCTGACGTTTGGCTGGGCGGCCTCGCGGGCGGCGCGCAGATCACGGCGGCGGTCTTGGGCCAGCTGCTGGGCAACTTCGCCGTGGAGCAGGGCCTGCTGGACCAGGTGCTCGCGCAGGCCGACGCCAGCAGGCCCGGGCCAAGGCAAGAGAAAGCCGCCACTGCCGCTCGGCGCGCCGAGGGAGCCGCCGCGGCGACGGCGACGACCCGCTGCGCGCGCCGCAGCCGCTGCTGCGGCTGCGCTTGGCAACTCTGGTGCCGCTGGCGCGGGATGCCCCTGTTGTGGGCGCCAAGCGTCGCGCAGTGACAAGGGGGGGGCAAGTCGAATTCGGAGAACATCACCGGGCTCCTGCCGCTGGCTGCAAATCTCGGTTTGAAAAGCGACGAGGAGACACGCGCCGTCCAAGCCACCCTGTTCAAGACAATTATGCTCCAGCGCGACAACGTGATCACTGATGCGGAAGGCCGTACAATCCTCGCCGACGGCGCTAGAGAAATGCGGTCCAAACACCCGCCAGCTGTGGACATCTGGGCAGCTATCACCCATGAGGGAGCCGCCATCGAGAGCCTCGAAGGGGCCAGCAAGAACGCAATCATCACGCACCGCCAGCAAGTGACGGACCTGGGGCAGCTGAGGGATTGGGCGCCCGAGTTATCCGGGGTAACTCGGGTCTGGGGTAACGCGGGCTTGGATTCCCGAAGAACGAACCCGAGTTAGCCCTGACCCGAGTTACCCCTGATGATTTGGGGCTCTGGACGCCCGAGTTATCTGGGGTAACTCGGGCCCGGGGTAACTCGGGTTCGGAATCCCGAAAAGCCAACCCGAGTTAGCCCTGACCCGAGTTAGCCCTGATGATTCGGGGCTCTGAAGGGAGACCATGCATCACGTGAAGGTGGCAAACACGCTCGACAATAGTAAGATCAACTTCATCTCGCTGCGCCCAGTTCCATGGAGTATGTAGTCAAACCTATCTGGCATGCAAGTCAATACTCTGGTGGCCGCCAATTGCACAGGCAGGCGCCCAAAGAGGGGCTTGAGAGGGACATTCAGCGCTGTCTCGATCAGCTGGAATCGATGATAGCCGACGGCGATAGAACACTGGAAGGGGCAATAGGTGAGTTGCGTGCTGCTCCAATCGCCATTTCTTCCCGCTGTGCGCCGTTCCGCCTTCCAAGTTCTACGATAACCACTTCTTCAAGGCGGGGCGCTCGTGAGGGGGCCGTCGTGGCCCCTCTCGTTCACTCAGTGAGAAGGGCTAACTTGCGCTGCAACGAGGTGAACGGCGGGGGAGAACTCTGCTTAGGATCCGATTCGTTATTGTATTGTGAAGCTGCCGGTAACCGCAACCTGCGCCTCTCCCTCCCCTTCACCATTGGCGCTGCCCCCCTTTTTCCTCCTCCACCGCCGCTTCCGCAGCTTCTCCTCCAGCCAGGCGTACCCCCCTCTCCAGACCCTCGACGTCATAATGTGTTAAAAGAGTCCACCCTGGAGGTATCGACCTCTTCCCTGGCACCGGTTTCTCCTCCCGCATCGTTTCCTGACGGTCCCGAGGCCCGGCGAGGGCCCGCAGAGGCCGAATATAGAAACCCTCCAGTCCTGATTTGCTCATGGGTGTCTGGGCCCTCCCCCCCCTCCCCGTCCCTCCTCTCCAGCCGAGCCTGGCCCAGGCCGACTTCTTCCACCGCTCGGAGTCCAGGCACACCTCGGGGGGCCGCGGGGGAGGCGAGAAGGAAGAGCGGATGCAGAGGGAGGAGGAGGGGGAGGAGGAGGAGGAGGAGGAAGAGGAGGAGGAGGAGGAGGGGGACGAGGGGGAGGAGGAGGAGGAGGAGGAGGAGGAGGAGGGGGAGGAGGAGGAGGAGGAGAGGAGGAGGAGGAGGAGGGGAGGAGGAGGATGAGGAGGGGAGGAGGGGGAGCAGGAGAGGAGGAGGAGGAGGAGGAGGAGGAGGAGGAGGAGGAGGAGGAGGAGGGAGGTCCGCTCAAAGTAAAAAAGTAGGAGGAGGACGAGGAGGGGGAGGCGGAGGTGGAGGAGGAGGCGAAGGGGAGGAGTAGGAGGAGAGGAGAAGGAGATGAGAAGGGAGGAGGTCCGCTCACATTGAAAAAGGAGATGAGGAGTCGAGCGTGCGGAAAAAGGAGATAATGAGGAAGAGGAGGAGAAGGAGAAGGAGGAGGAGGAGGAGGAGCAGGAGGTGTAGGCTGGGAGGAGAAGGGAACCCCGCCCGCTCCCTTTCCCTCCTTGCGCGTCCCTGATGATGTGTCCCTCGTCCACGTCTTTGGCGCCCGGGCTGGAGTAGAAAGGAGGAAAGACTGGGCATACACAAAAAAATATATGATTTTTGACAGCGGAGAGGAGAAAAGAGGAGGAGGAGGCCGAGTAGGTGGAGCGAGAAGACATGGCGGGAATGGCGGGCGGAGGCATAAGGAGTGAGTGGGTGAGACAGGGAGAGAGAGAGAGAGAGAGGAAAGGACAGAGAAGGAACGAGGGGAGAGGAGACGTGATGGAGGAATGAAGCAACGGACGAGGAGGGACAGCGCAGAAGGGATGCGGCAACAGGACGGAACATGACGTCCTGGGAGGAGACCGCCTCGGAGACCCTTCTGAGGTCCACGCCGAAACTCCAGGGGCCCCCTGAGGCCCAGCGGCAGGCCCGCCCCTCCCGGGTGCCCGCCGAGGCGCAAAAGGACGGCCAACGGCGGCTGAGGGGGCGAGCCGCCCTCCCTCCGTGCCGCGCCTGTGCCGCCATGGTCGAGCGCCACTCCGCCGGCACGCGGGGGGTGGAGCCGAGCATCGAGGCTCGCCCTTGCCCTTCCCACCTGTGGGACTCGGTCCTTCGCTGGGGACACCAAAAGGCACCAATGCCGCTGCTCCTCGGACCTCTCCCGGGGCGCGCTCTGGCCAGGACTTCGAGGCGAACGCTGCGGCGGCGACGACGGAGGCCCCGAAGGCCCAAGAGGGGGAAACCGAGGGGAGGTGGGTAGAGGTGTGGGTACCCTTCCCTCCTCTGATTCACGGCGCGAGCCTGTCAGCGTTGGGAGCTGGGCATCACCTCTGAGAGCGACCCGACTTGGCAGGTGCTTTGTGCTCCGCGGCCGACGCCGCGGGCACTTGCGCTCCAGGTGCGGGCGCCCTGCCTAGGAGAAAGATCGAGGCTCGGCGAACACGAGCTCCGCGGGCAGAAGGTGCGGAATGCCTTGTGAAGATGCGGGGCAACGATGGGGACTGGCTCAGGCAGGGAATCATCGGCCTCGAATCGGCGATACATCAACGATAGATGCGCGATAGGCTCTCGATCGTAAATCCATATCCTGGCGGAAGTGAACTATCGACCCCCCTATCGGCGATCTATTGGCGATTGTGGGTCCATGCGTCCCTAGAGGCCCCAAGAGCGCCCCAAGAGGCCTCCAAGAGGGCCCCAAGACGTCCAACAAGCACCCCAAGACGGACCAACAGGTGCCTAGGAGGCCCCAAGAAGCCCCCAAGAGGCCCCAAAGAGGCCCCCGAGAGGCCCGAAGAGGCCCCGACGAAGCCCCCAAACGGCCCTCAAGAGGCCTCAAACCTGCCCCCAAGAGGCCCCCGAGAGGCCTCCCACGAGATTCCAACGAACATCCAATAGGCTTCTTACCCACAACTCAGGCACGGATGCGGGACTTGCCGCAAGCAACTGGGTACCAAGAATTGCCCCTACTATCCAGACCCCTCCCGGAGTACGTTGTTCCGACAAGGAGTTCGAGGCGATACCGACCTTCGGGGACGAGGGCGTCCAAGGAGACCCAAGAGGGCAAACATGCGAGGTGACGATATCGGAATATAATCACCTCCTCCTCCCCTGAACTCCTCCTCCTCTTCCTCCTCCTCCTCCCCCTCCTCCTCCTCCTCCTCCCCCTCCTCCCCCTCCTCCTCCCCCTCCTCCCCTCCTCCTCCTCCCCTCCTCCTCCTCCTCCTCCTCCTCCTCCCCCTCCTCCTCCTCCTCCTCCTCCACCTCCTCCTCCTCCCCCTCCTCCTCCTCCTCCTCCCCCTCCTCCTCCTCCTCCTCCTCCTCCTCCTCTCCTCCTCCTCCCCCTCCTCCTCCTCCTCTCCTCCCCCTCCTCCCCCTCCTCCTCCCCCCCCTCCCGCCGCCTCCCCGCGGCGAGCCGCAGCGGCGCCCGCGTTCCGCTCCGAGAGGGGGGGGGGGGGGGGGCCGCCGCGGCCCCGCCGGGGGGCGTGCCACGTCCGTGCAGAGGGACACGTAGAGCGGCCAGGCGCAGGTGGCCGCCGCGAGGGCGCTCGGCGGGCCCTTGGCCACGGTGCCTCGGGGGGGCAAGGGGCGCCGAGCGGCAACGGCGTCTTCTCCGCCGCCGTCTTCGCCGCCGCCGCCGGCCGTCTTCGTCGAGCATGTCGTCGCTCTTCGCCGTCGTCGTCTTCGTCCTCGTCGTCGTCGTCGTCCTCGTCGTCGTCGTCTCCGCCATCGTCGTCGCTGTCGTCGTTATATATATATATATATATATATATATATATATATATATATATATATTTGCAGTCTGTGTCGTTGCCTTTGTCCTTACCTTTGCCTTTGTCTTTGTCGTCGCTGTCGGGGACGCCACAGTCGTCGCCGTCGACAGGCTCAAGTGGGGAAACACCGAACTGGAATAGCCCATCGGTCGCCGATGGATCAGCGATAGGCCCGCGATGGCGAATCTCCACGCTCCTGGGAGGGCATGAGGCAATCGATGCTCGGCGATGAATGGGGATCTTCGGGGTCGATCCCTGAGCCATCCCCACCCCCTAGCCCTGCCCCCGACGGGGGCCTTGGGGATCTCGGTGTCCCAGCGGACGCCGGTTGACCACCGCACCAATCCCGGCCGCGCCCGTCCTGGGACCAGGACCCGTGCACGTGCCCTCCTTGCTCGGCGGGGGGAGGGCATGTGCAGTCGGCCCGTATCGCAAGGATGCGCGCCAAGGGTGCAAGGGCCTTGGACGCCCATGTCAAAGCTTTTCGAGCGGGGCGCGGCCAACGAGAGCGGCCAAGGAAGGCGCGGGTTGACTGTGCACCGATCTTGGGCCCCCAATGATCGGACGCGGCGGGATCGCTGAGGTGATCAATCGACGCCCGACTTTTTTTGGACGTGGGTCGGTTTTTAGATCTCAGCTCCCTTGAAAACACGGGGCACTCCGCGGCGAGGAGGGGAACCCAGCGGGTCCCCAAGGGCGCACGAGCGGAGCGGGAGCCCAAGATGGCGAAGGGGTGCCGATCGAAACGCCGAAGCGTGCGGCGAGAACTTGGGACGTGAGGACGGGGATGAAGAATAGGAGAAAGAAGAGGAGAAGGAGAAGGAGAAAGAAGATGAGAAGAAGGAGGAAGATCAAGAAAAGGGAGGAGGAGGGGCAAGAAGAAAGACGTTAGGAGGAGAAGGAGGAAGAGGAGGAACCGAAAAAGCAATGGTTGGCCGACCGACATGCCGAGACGGGGACCACCGATTGAAAGGCACCGACCGTTTATCTTCCTTGACCGAAGGATCCTTGGGAAGCGAGTGGCACAATGAGGACAAAGGCCCCAGGCACATGCTGAGCTTCCTCGGGGCGGCTGTCGGCAGGTGGCGGCGGCCGCGCGCGAGCAGAGCCGCTGCGGGTGCGCGGCACGCCTGGCAGCACGAAGTACACCGCGCGCGGCTCGCAGCGTTTCGCCAGCCAGCCCGCGAACTTGCCCAGCCTCGCCAAACGGGCGGTGGACTGTTGGGCAACCACACACCAACCCTACCTCTGCATGTCAGCTTCCTGAAGAACAGGCCGAGGTTCTGAATCTGGAGGGTGTCTGCTTCCAGGTGGACCACAGCGGGTGTGTCCGATAGCCCAGAACCGATTGGACCCGCTGGGGTGGGGTTCGCAAGTGGTCGCAGAACTGCACGTTTGACTCAAAAGCGCGCCGCTGTAATGCCACAGAGAGTATCAAATGTACTACGGCCGGTACTTGGGCACTGCTGGTACGTCTTGGCGCGGTGCAATATTACAGCGCTTCCTTGGGCTACTCGGAATGCCGCGACTGCTGCTCCACAAACCACTCACGCTATAAAACCGGTTACAACGAGTACCCGGTAACTCTGGTACTGAACACTGTACAACTACTACGAGAACTCAGCCGACTACTGACAATATGAGTGTGTGTGCACATGCTACTGTGGCAGGTGCGAACTGCATGAATACTGCTGCTGATCCTGCTGCAGAACCCAAACATTCAGTCACTGCATCCGCAACACCTGCCACGTCTCTTCTGGTGCTGCAACCAGAATGTGCAGCTCACAAGGTTTATAATTGTTCGTGTGCCCATTGCTGATACTGCTACCTTTCCCGCAAGTGCCAAGGCATCCCACTGCGGATAGCCCCCCTGGGCACTCCTTCCAGGTCATCATCTTCCATGGGACATCGTACATAAGGATAGTGCTTTATAAATCACAGGAGCTCACCGGGCGGGACAGCTGGGTGTGGGGGGGGGAACACCGCCATCACAATGTAGGCGTCGTCAATCCGCAACGCAAGGTGGCACAAACGATGGGCCAGATGGTGTCAACGACTTCCTGACATACGCGCCCACGTACTAGCGATCCCATCCCGGGATCGTGTTTCCCGTCGCGGGTCGTGTGTTCGCCCTGGGGCGCGACGTGGCCCTCCCGAGCCGAACTCTCAGCAGAACGCTCGCCGCGGTTCCTTCACGACGCCGTCGGGCGGGTGCTGATGGAGGGGGGCCCGAAGGGCGGGGGCGAAGAGAAGGGCCCCAAAGGGGCTCGTGAGAGCGCTTCTTGGAGCCAGCAGGGGCCCAAGCAAGCCCTCGGGGCCCTCTTCTTTCCCCCCCCCCCCCTTGGGGGCACCCCCCTGTCCTGCCTCTTCTTCACTCTCCTCTTCTTCCTCTTCTTCCTCTGCCTCCCTCCCTCCCTCTGCTTCTTCCTCTGCCTCCCTCCCTCCCTCCCTCTTCTTCCCCCCCCCCATTGGGGGGGCACCCCCCCCCAGTAGCACCCGCCCGACGCTGGAGGTCTGGTTCGTGCTCCCCGTGGCCCCTCCCGAGGTGCGCTCTGGCCACCCTTCCGAGGCGAACGCCCGGCCGTGGCGGCGAGTCCGCCCCCCCCGGGAGGCACCAAAACGCAGCTCGCAGAGCGCCCAGAACCCTGATCCTCGACCGCCCTTCTCCCTCTCCCCGTCCTTCCCTGCCTCCTCCTCCCCGATGTTCTCCTCCTCACCTCCTCCTCCTCCTCCTCCTTCTCCTCCGCCCCCTGTTCCTCCTCCTCGATCTTCTCCTCCTCCTCCTCCTCGATCTTCTCCTCCTCACCTCCACCTCCTCCTCCTCCTCCTCCGCCTCCTCCTCCTCCTCCTCCTCCCGGACGTCCTTCTCTGCCTCTTCCTCCCCGATCTTCTCCTCATCACCTATTCCCCAACCCCCACGTCGGTCCGAGATCTCTCTCTCTCTCTCTCTCTCTCTATATATATGTCTCTTGGGCATGCGTTCTTCGAGACCGTCGGTCGAGACAGAGCCCGTGGCGACGCAGAGCGGGGTCAGGGACGTCGAGGCCAGGCCCCCGATGTCGTCTCACGGACGCGGGGCCTTCGAGGTATGTTTGTGATGCGGCCATGGTGATTCCCTCCCCGCGGGGGTAGCAGGAGGCCATCATAATTCTCACAGCTCCATCGAGCGGCTTGCATGGGTCCGTGTGTATCGAATGCATCCACGAAGAGACGCACTGTAAGATCTCTTGTCGCGGCGCTCGCGGTCGCTTGGCGCGTGGGGACCGAGGTCGGAGTACGAACCAGCAAGCTAATTGGCACCAAGGAGGCGGGGGACGACGGACGCGGAGCACGAAATCCACGAACCCGGGCGACGCCCCGACAGCCATCACCCCTCTTCCTGGAGGAATGGCCTCACTGTGCCTGGGGGGACGCAGCATGACATAAGCATACAAACTCGAAGTCCGCGCGGATTTCTCGGACTCGCGCTGGACACCCCTGGCGGCGCCTCCGGCGCCGACCCTGGCGCGCTCCGCGCGCCGGGGCCCAGCGCGGATCCGAGAGATCCGCGCGGACCTTCCAGTTTCTATGATTGTGTCATCATTCACTCCCCTACTTCGGGAGCGGCCAAAGAGGGGGGCGTCCAAGAGGGGGGGGGTGCAGATCATGGCCGGCGGCATGTGAGCGGCCCAGCGGGGGGGCCAGGGACATAATGAAATGAGAAGAGGCGCCATGAAATCTGGGGAAAAATCATGGCCCCCGCCATGATATCCCCCCCCTAGTCATCACCCCCCTCTTTCCCGCCACCGATACCAGTGGATGCCCGACCACAAGAAGCCTTCCATAAGAAGTCCAGCCCTGAGACCCCAGGACGTGCACTGATTTTTGGTGTGGGAACGTCGCGCTGTCCATCGCAAAACCATCCAGACCCAAGAAGCCCACGGCACCCTGGAGGCAAACAGGGTGTTTCTTGGCACGGGTCTCCACTGTAGGAGTTCGCACGGGCCACAGAAGCTGGGCATGTTGCACGGACTACTGGCCCCACCGCATCTTCCTCCGGGAAAGGTTGCGAGCCCGATCCCTGCGGGCAATCCGCGGATGGCCGCGCACGCGGGAGGGCCGCTGGCCCCCCCACCTCCATCCTCCATCCTTCCTCCTCCATCCTCCTGCTCCTCCTGCTCCTCCTCCTCCTCCTCCTCCTCCTCCTCCTCCTCCTCCTCCATCCTCCTTATCCAGCTCCATGCTTCTCCTCCTCCTCCTCCTCCATCCTCCTCCTCCTCCTCCCCCCCATCCTCCTCCCCCTTCTCCATCCTCCTCCTCCTCCTCCTCTTTCTCCTGCTCCTCCAGCTTCCCTCCAGCTTCCCCCCTCCCCCTCCTCCTCCTCCTCCTCCTCTCCTCCTCCTCCTCCTCCTCCTCCTCTTTCTTCCTCCTCCTGCTCGTCCTCCTCCTCCTCCTCCTCCTCCTCCTCCTCCTCCTCCTCCCCCTCCTCCTCCTCTGGTGTGAAAACCGATTCCTGCGAGCACTCTGGGGGGGCAACTGGGCCGCGAACGCGGAGGCCGAATCCCCTAGTCAATCCGTATCATAAGGATGCACAACAAACATGCAAGGGCCTTGGACGCCCACTTCCAACATCTTCGAGCGGGGCGCGGCCAACGAGAGTGGCCAACGATGGACGGAGAAGGCAAGGATGCAAGGGTAGGGTACCCTTGGGAAAATTGCCCGTCCTTACTACGCGGGTTGACTGGATAAGCTGGCTGCTCGCCTACAGAGGAGGGACAATCAACAAAAACTCTCGGAGAACGGCGCGGAGATCTGGGATCCGCGTTGGACTCCCCTCCCCTGCCCGGCGCGCGGAGCGCGCCGGAGGCGGCGCTTGGGGGAAGCCCAACACAGATCTAGGAAATCCGCGCTGAGCTCCGACAGTTGATATTTAGGCCGTTGAGTCTCCAAATGCCCCCCCAAAAAATCTGACCACGGGCCTCGCCTGGGGCCCAAACGCGCACAGTTTCCGAGCCGCACCCAGCCTTGGCGACGAGGGGGCCCTCCCGAAGGCCTCTGCCTCGACTCGCCGCCCTCTGATTTGCCCCTCTGGACGCCCGAAAAGGGTACAGAAAACGTGGGCACGCACGATGCCAAACAAAACATGTTGTCCAACACTTATGCTGCGCCCATCGTACTTCAGGACCACAGCCCAGAAATACTCTCGAGCACCCAGGAGAGTGTCGAAACGGTACCGAACGAGTATCGCTTCCCAGGGCCCGTCACGTGAACACCGTCCCGCGTCGGTACTTTCTTCGTGCTCAGAATTCTCTCTGGTGATCAAAGCTAAGGTAGGTTTAGGTCGGGCGTGTCCCCTTACAGGCAGATTTGGGACGAAACATTCAAACTTGCAAAAACAACAAAACTAAAAATGCGCAACAATATTGAACAACTTGTCCCCATACTGATGATGCTTCTATCATTTTTGAATATTCCTCCTGTAGAGGGACACGCCCGACTTAAAGGTAGATTTGAACAACATGATTCAACATCGACATCGACTGCTGTCGGGCAGGCGGCCTTCTGTTACATGTGGACAGCGCCAGCGACGTCACCGACGGCGAATCCTGCGCTAAAAAAGTGGCAGAACTGCTGTCGCTCTTCGCACGCATTCAGAAGCCTCCTGAGCTTAGATCGGCCACGTCCTCCTACAGGGGACCTTGGGACCTTTGGACGGAAAAAAAACAATTTTCAAACAATACTCAAACATATTCAAACATAGAAAGAAACAGCGTCCCCAGACAATGTTTTACTATTTCTGGATACTCCTCCTGTAGAAGGACACGCCCAACTTAATCCTAGACGGGGTCCGACTAGGCGGGGTGAGGATCGCGCTGCATCGGCGATGCATCGGCGATGCATCGGCGATGCATCGGCGATGCACCGGCGATGTATCGGCGACGTTGGCAGCGTAACGGCGACATCGGTGCCGAGCAAATCGGACTCCGCATCGAGCCGCATCGCCGATGCATCGGCGATGCGGCGCGATCCGCCGACCCCATCTGGTCGGACCCCGCCTAGGAGGCCTAGGGAGCTGCTGTCGGTCTTTGGACCCATGCTTCCCGTTCCCATTCCGATCGTACCGATTACCATGAGCCGACACTCCCACGACCTCTCCTGGGGTGCGTTCTGACCAGAATTTTGAGGCGAATCCAGCGGTGGCGAAGAGAGCCTCCGAGGAGGCCCCAAGAAGGGAAAACGAGGAAAAGGTAGAGGTATGGGCAACTACCTTGTGCTTTCTGCAGAACACCTCTCGGTCTTCGTGTCCATTGCTTCCGTTCCCACTTGGATCGTGCCGAATATCATAAACCACCCTGGGTAACCGCACCTCCCAGGCCCTTAGTGGGCCCCGGAAACGGCGGCCGTTTTTTCACCGTTTCCGAGAACATGTCCCTTGAAAATGGAAAGGGCAAAGAAACGGCGACCAGAAACGGCAAAAAAGCGGCTCCAGGATTGGAGCCGGAGCCAGAACCGGTCAAAAAACGGCGACGGAACCGGTAGAAAAACGGCGTCGGAACCGGCAAGAAAACGGCGAAACGGAACCGGTAAAAAAACGGCCCTGTCGTTTCCAGGGCCCACGAAGCCCTGGGTAACCGCACCTCCCAGGCCCGCGGCCTGATCAGCTCGTCGTGTCGCATCTCCGCCAACGGGGGGCCGACGCAGGAGCGCTCCTGCGAGGCTGCGGCGACATCGGTCCGCGCCGGTGCTCGGCTGCGTGGCGGGGGGGCGGCGACCGCGAGCAGGAGGCGGCAAAGGACGACGACGACGAGGAGCAGCAGCAGCAGCAGCAAGGGGGAGGAAAGCGAGGAACGTGAAGAGGAAGGTGAAGGAAACCAGAGAAGGGTAGAGGGCGAAGGCGGCGGCGGACCTCTGCTGACACACGAGCCAAACCGCTGGCGCAAAAGAAGGACTCGGCAATCTGCTCAGGTGCCAAGAGCGTGCTACGTGAGCCGTGTCTTCGCACATGGAGTGGGCTCGTGCAGCCTCGGCAGCCTGATCGGGTCGGCGTGCCAGAGAAGGACGAGAATATGAAAAAGGGGGGCCGAAGAAGGAAGGAGGAGGACGGGAAGAGGAGGAGGAAGCGGAGGAGGAGGAGGAGGAGGAGGAGGAGGAGGAGGATGAGGAGGAGGAGCAGGAGGGTTGGGGAGGAGAAGGAGGAGGAGGAGGAGGAGGAGGAGGAGGAGGAGGAGGGGGAGCAGGAGTACGGGGAGGAGGAGGAGGAGGAGGATGAGGAGGAGGTCTACCTGCCTGACCGAAGCCCCCTGCCTGCGCGCAGGGGGGCCGCAGAGCGGTCCCGCGGCATGGACACGAACACTATGCGGGCGCCCGGGGCGACGCGGGTCGCGCTGGTCACCTCGCCGCCGTGGCAATGGGCGGCCGAGCTGGGCCGAGGGGCCCCCGGCCGCTTCTCCACCGAGAGGCGCTGCCTGCGATCGCCGCCGCCGAAAGGCATCACCGATCGAGGGATAGGAGGGAGAAGAGGAAGAAAGGATGAGATTAGAAGGGAGGAGGAGAGGTGAACAAGGATGTGCGTTTCCCATCCGTGCACTGTCGCATCTTTTGACCAGCAGCGCTGGCGGTCGCCAGCGCGTCTGCAGGAGCTGGCGGACCGCGCCCAGAACTATCTATCTAGGCACAGGGAGGAGCGGGCGGAGCAGAGGAGGGCGGCCGCGGAGGCGGAGGGAGGGAGGAGACCCGAACCGCCGGGGTGGGCGACACGTGAGGGGGGCCGAAAGGGGGGTGGGGGGGGGGGGCAACTGGCCCAAAAACAACGTAGGTCGACGATCGGCCAGAGGCTGCCGGGGCTGCTGCCGCCACTGCTGCTGTACGCGTGGTAGGCTCGGAGGAAGCTGCGCAACCGCCCCTGAAGTCTGCGCTTAGCACGCAAGCGACAGGCCTCGGAGACACGGCAAACAGCCTGCTGATCCTCTCTCGTCCATTCTTCGGGGGGGAGGGGCAATGACCTGAAATAGACGACAGATCGCCGACAGGCTCCCCGTGGGAGGTGCCCGTTCTTGGGCACTGTGGGTCGGAGCAAGGGAGAATGAGGCAACGGCAGCTCAAATCTGCCGACCCTGTCGGGTCCGTCGTCCCCGGGTGCTCCTAACAGACGATAGCTCATTCGATTTACTCGGTCATTCCCGGAGAAACTCCCGAGACCCTCCTTTGGCGCGCCAAGCTCGACACTCGAGGTCGAGGTGAATTAAGCCAGATCGTAATCGAGGTCGTAATTGAGTCGAAAGGGAACCCAGGGGGTCCCGGGGGGTTCCGTCCTTGGGGGGGTCCCTGGGGGTGGTCTGGGTCAGACTACGGTCCCCCCCTCCCTTTTCAGGCCGCCTTCGAGCAAATTTGGTCCTCCTTCGGTAAATCAGGCCCAAGATAATCCGAGGGGGGCCCAAGAGGGCCCAGAGTCGCCAAAAGATTGCTCCAAGACGCCCAAGAAGGCCTCAAGAGCACTCCCACCTCCTGGGCCCCAAAAGGCAATATCTATTGAATCCATGTTTGTTGCTGATCAATGTTAGCGCTCCTGCCTTTCCGGCTTCCCGACGCTCCAAGACGGCCCAAGAGACCGCAAAGATCGGCCCAAGATGGCCTACGAGGCCGTCAGGAGGGCGCCGAGACGCCCCGAACGGCCTCCAAGACTGCCCAAGAGGCGTCCAAAGCGGCCCGAGACGGCCCCAAGAACGCCCCAAAAAGGGGCCCCAGAGGGCGAACACGAACCGACACTTCGAGCTCACCGCAAACAGGAGGCTCCCAACCGGCCCCAACGAGGCTCCCAAGAGGCTCCAAGAGGCCCCAAGAGGCCCCCAAGATGCCCCCAGGAAGCCCCAAGATGCTCCCAAGATGCTGCCAAGATGCCCCCAAGGTGCACCCAGGAAGCCTCGAGAGGCTCTCGACAGCCCTATGAAGAGATCCCAAGAAGCATCCATGAGGATTGTGGCCCACTACTCAGGCACGGTGGCGGGATGGTCCGCAGGACACTAGATACTCCGTGAGGTACTCCGTGAGGGGCCCGAAATCGCCCGAGCGCCCCCCGAGGGCCCCCCGAGGGCCCCCACAGAATTCCAGGCAAGCCCCCAACAGTATGATACCGTGAACCTTTGGCACGACACTCCTGCGGGCTGTCTCGGGAGCCCTCATGGGGCCCGGTGAGCCCAGAAAGATTGCAAAAAAACCAAGAAAGGGTTTTTGTTGCAATCCTTCGTTCAAGAAAGGTTTTTTGTTTGCAATCTTTCGTTTTTTTGCAATCCTTCGAACATGCACACGCCCGAGCGATGCCACGCCCTGTGCCCAAAAGACTGGTGAACGTCTTCGTACCCGGCGTTGCGGCATTGCGCGGACGGGGGCGCGGGGGGTCGGGCTCCTGACCTCTGCTACAAATGGCGTCCGCTTGCCAGGGGTGCGCCCCGTGGGGGAGGCGCCACCTCCCTGAAGCAGGCGCCCAGAGCAGCCAAGATCTGCTCCGCAGAGGTGGGAGGGGGGGCTCCGAGGGCCCGCGCCGATCGGCAGAAGCACTAAGGAGGAAACGAGCACCCGGGTGCCGACGGCGCGCGGAGCCCCCCGGCACGGCGACGACTGGCGCTGCCATCCGTCGCGCCCACCAGCGCGAGCAACTGCGAGCGAATCCAGCAGGGGCCAGAGCACAAGAGACCCTTCCACAAGAAAAACCAACCCTGAGACCCCAGGATGTCCCTGGATTCTTGGTGTGGGAACGTCGCGCTTTCTACCGCAAAGAAACCATCGACACCCAAGAAACCCAGGGCACCCTGGAGACAAGCAGAGTGTTTCTTGGCATGGGCCTCCACTGTATGCTCGATCCCCATCCTGCCTCACTCATAGGTTGGCTGCTAACTCTGGGGACCTTCCTGGAGCCACTCGCTCCACTCGTGCGTCGAAGCTGCGTCGAACGTCCGTCGATACGCGTCGACCTCGAGTCGAACCGGAGTCGAACCTGCGTCGAACTCGAGTCGAACTGGAGTCGCACTGCGGTCGAACTCGAGTCGAACAGAATTGCTAGGTAGTAGGCCCAAGGAAGATCCCTGAAAAAAAACGTCTAACATGACCTTGTGCCCCTAATACTCTTCTTCATGGGATCCCAAAAGTCGGGGTCACGAGGGAATGACGGTCGACGGGAGGAGAAGGAGAGACGAGAGAGAGAGGAGAGGAGGAGGAAGAGGATGAGGAGTTGAGAACCGAGGAGGAGGAGGAGGAGGAGGAGGAGGAGGAGGAGGAGGAGGCGGTCGAGGATCAGGAGGAGGAGGAGGAAGACCAGGAGGAGCACGAGGGGGGGGAGGAGGATCTCCGAGCTCTGTGGTGTCAAGGCGCTGGGGGATGCTTCATTGCCAGGGGCACAGGGGGCTGGTCATGCAGGGTTAAGCGTGCTGCCCAGCGCGGCGCCGGACGGCCGAGGGGCGGCGCTCTCCCGGCACCCTCGCCAGGCCGCCGTGCGTGGTCGTCGAGGGAGGCAGGGGCCCGGGGACTCCGCGAGGAGCCTCTCCTCGGCTCTACGTGCGAGCGGCCCTGGGCAAGAGCGGCCTTCGGTGCGCGGCCTCTGGGGGGCCGCGGGGGGGCCAAACCTGGGCGCGCGAGCAGCTGCTACCGCTTCGTTCTCAGCCACCTGGGGACCCATCTGTGCCCGCACCAAAGGTCACTCCGGCGAAGGGTCACTCTTACGGCTACAGTAGGGAACCGACCACAAGAAACCGTCCACAAGAAACCCAACCCTGAGAACCCAGGACGTCCATCGATTTTTGATGTGGGAACGTCACGCTCCCCATCGCAAAACCATCGAAACCCAAGAAACCTAGGGCATCCTGGAGGCAAGCAGGGTGCTTCTTGGCATGGGTCCCCACTGTAGTCGACTCTCTCTGCGGCACTTCCGCGAACGGTGGCCACCCGGGCAAGGGGTGGGGGGTGGGGGGGAGCTGGCAGAGGCACGAAATAGGGAGGCGTTGGAGCTAGATTGGGCTCCGTCCGCCCCTCCAGGGAGGACAGAAAAGGTGGAGCCACTCGATCCTCGAGGCAGGGAGGCGCTCAAAGCAGATTGGAATCTGGGAACCCAGAAATCCCTACGGCAGGTCCGTGCCGTGTCGACCCTGGCGTTGGTTCCTGACACCGCGGGGATCGTTCAACCTTGAACGATCGGCCATTTCCGCAACGTCCAATCGTTCAACATCGACCGATTCTGGGTCGCCCGCGGCGTTCAACCTTGAACGCCCGCGCTGGGGTCGCCGCTGGTCGACACGACGCAAACCTACCGTACTTTGAACGACCGATGAGTATTTACGGGAAGGGTTGCCACCCACACGCGGGGTGTGGTGGGGTCGGGGTGGGGCACCAGGTAAGGGCAACGCCCGGGCGGGATGGGGCACGTCGGGGCGGGGGCGGGCGGCGCGAAGGAAAAAAAAAAATCCGACGACGCCCAGCGAGAAACAACATCGATACTGCTATGATTCCTGGCAGCGGTCCTTACCCGGGGGAGGGGGATGAGAAGCAATGATAGTGCCCCTACCCCTTCAGGAGGGCACCCTAGTCAGGAGGGCCAAAAACATGGGAGGACATGGGATCTGTTCTGCAGATGTACGGGACGAGTCCACCCATACGTTCAGGGGTATCCCTTAAAACCGTGGATCTAAATTGGGCCACGCTGGAAACCCGACGATCAAAAACAATGATGTCTGTACTTCGAAACTGACGGCAGAACCGCTCGAGCTCTGTGTTTCCGCGACACATCTCTGGCCCTGTCGCACCACCAGAAACGTCGAGATTTAAGCAGGAGATCCTCGAAAGTCTTCGCAAGAACGATTGAGGGCCATTCAGCTTGGGGGCGTCCAGGAGAGGAGCCTCAAAGAGGGGGGTTCGCAAATGACGGCCCGAGGCATGTGCGCGAAAGATGGGAGGGCATGTGTCGCAAAAGAATCAGAAAAAGAGAAAAAAACGAAGAAGAGGCCATGCGATCCGGGGAAACATGCCCTCCGCCATATCACCCCCCCAAAGCCGTCACCCCCCTCATGGACGCCCACCAAATCGGAGCCATGAAGCCCGATGAAGGACGAGGCCCGATGAGCGCACGACTTATGAACAAGAAACTGAATTAAACTGGATTTGGCCTGGGATGAAACTGGATCAAGCGGGGCTCGGCGGAACAGTGTCAAAACAGGCCGGAGTCCAATCTCGGACATATACCAGCGCCGATGCTGAATCTGATGTGCCAGGCATTGCATCCCGGCGAGCTTGAGAAGTAACAGCGGGAGAGAGAGAGAGAGAGAGACAGAGCGCGTGGCGGCTGTTACAGTAGGAGCTCGACCACAAGGACCTTCCACAAGAAACCCCAACCTGAGAACACAGGACGCCGATTGGTTTATGGTGTGTGGGAACGTCAAGCTCTTCGTCGCAAAACCATCGTAACCCAAGAAACCAAGGGCACCCTGGAGGCAAGCAGGGTGTTTCCTGGCATGGGCTTCCACCTTCTGGAAAATCCCCCCAACAAAATACGGGGCGCCCTATCGTGGACGACCCCCGCTAGCACCGTGCATGTGCGTCCGCAGGATCCCCCAGGAATCGCGCCCTGGATATGGATACCTCCTGGATGGGGTCGGAGAGGAATTAGGGGAACGAAAGGTGGAGGAGCATACAAACTCGGAGGTCCGCGCGGGTTTCTCGGATCGGCGCTGGACCCCGCGCGGAGCGCGCCATGGGGCGGTGCTGGAGGCGCCGCCAGGGGGGTCCAGCGCGGACCGAGAAATCCGCGCGGACTCCGAGTCGTTATGTTTTGTCATTCTTCGTTCCCCTGTAGATGGGGTCGGGGGATCGCGCCGCACCGCCGATACATCGGCGATGAGTCGGCGATGCATCGTCGACGTGAGGCTCGGGCTGCACATCGAGCCACATCGGCGATGCATCGGCGATGCGGCGCGATCCTCCGACCCCATCTACTCCGACCCCATCTGGGAGGCCTGGGCTGTTATGGATACGTCAGCCACCCCTGATCGGAGAGAGAGGGGGCCCCGCCTCCTTCTGCAGCAGTGGAACGCCTGCGGGGCGGCACCAGTCTCTGGGAGGATGCATGCAAGAGGTGCCCAGGAAGTCTCCGGAGGTCCCTGGAGGCCTCTGGGAGTTCTGGCAGCGCAGCCGTCCACCGATGTGGTTGCTTCAGCCCGCGGCCCCAGAGGTCCCCACCCCTCGCCTGGGGGTGGTGTTCCGTCCCGAGTCCCTGTTTGATGGCCTCCCGGCCGGAGAACGGGCCCTGGAGGCCGGCATGCAGGAACAACCGCAGGATTGACCAAATCATCTCCTCGGATCTCTGAGAAGGGGCAGGCACGTCCAGAAGCTTCGATCCTCGACAAACCATAGGGCGATAGGCTGTCAAAGGGGCGCTTCCCGCGTTCCGTGGGGTGGCCCGGGCAGTACACGACTAATGGGGGTCTTCGAGCGAGAGGGTGTCATGTCGCAACCTCGGGGGACCCTGTCTGTCCCGTCGCTGCCCTATCCGCGTCGAATCCATGTAAATCTTTGTCGAGTCCGTGTCGAATACGCGTCGAATCCACGCCATGTCCAGGAGTCCGCATCGAGCCCGCGCTGGGCACAAGAAAGGACACCACTTTGGGGGACCGGCGAGGTCCCCCGAAGATGCAACGTAAAGGGTGGTGGTGCAAGCTCGCTGCTGTGTGGTAGCTGCACGTACACGTTGCTCCCCCGTCCAGTCTCCTTGTGCATGAATCCCACCTGCCGTTACCCCCAGACGCGTCGGTAGGGCGGGCGGGGCGCTTTGCCTCCGACCTCCCCGCAAAGTAATCACCCTGGAGCTTGAGCTCTGCAGGAGCTTCGGGGGTGAACGGCAGCTGGTTTTCAGACTGGGGCTGTCGCCGGAGCGGTGCACACGCTTGTCTGAACCATTCGCGACAGACCCAAGGATGGCGGGCAGCAAAGTCTCAAAGGGTGGCTCTCGCCTTAGCACCCGACGCGTTCGTCTCACAAGTTCACGACAGTCTCAAGGATGCGCTGTGATTGGTCTTCAAACTGTGGCTCTCGCCTTAGCGCCGCGCGCGTTCGTCGTAACAGCTTGCAGCCATTCCAAGGATGGGGGCGGCACATGTTCAAATTGTGGTTCTCGCCTTGGCGCCGTGCACATTCGTCGTAACAGCTTGCAGCCAGTTCAAGGATGCGTATGGTTGAAGTCCCAAGACCTGTGTTCTGGCACGAGTAGAGATTGTCAGAACGCAACACACACACGTGCATTCGCGGAGTTGAAATCCCAGGAGCGGTGTTGTGGCACGATTGAAGATTCTACGACTGTTGTGTTCTGATGTGGCACGTCCCGCAATGATAATACAGCCCACCAACCCTGTAGCGCATGAATGGTTTAGCGGGTGTCCTCTTCCAATCTCCCTCTTCCCCTTCGAGGAAGGCTCCTCCCGCTACCCCCTCCCCCCTGGTTTGGACGGGGTGTTTCGCGAGGTGTCAGAAGATCAGTGTTGGCCTCGGCGAAAATGCTAAACTCATTGGTTGCACGAAAGTGTTGGCCGCAGTCAGGCCTCTTTTGGGGGAGGGCGTCGCTAATTCACTACGGCGCCTCATATGATCAATCTCCTCCAAGATGGCCCCAAGATGGCCCCCAAAGCATCCGAAAGTTCCCCCCCCCCAAGAAGCCCCAAAGATGCCCCAAAAAGGCTCCCAACAGACCCCCAAGAGGCTCAACGTGGCCCTCTAGAGGCACCCACGAGACTTCAAGAGGCACCCAGGACTGCCAATAGGCCCCCAAGACGCCCACAGAGGCCTTCAAGAAGCTTTCGACAGACATCCGACGAGACTCCGAGAGGCATCCAAGATGCCTCTGATCTTTCTGCTCGCCCTCCTCCTCTCTCCTCCTCCTCCTCCTCCTCCTCCTCCTCCTCCTCCTCCTCCTCCTCCTCCTCCTCCTCTTAGTCTTCCTCATCCGCCCAAGTATCCTCCTTCCTCCTCCCTCCTCATCCTGTCTCTCTCACCACTCCTCCTCCTCATCCTCCTCCTCCTCCTACTTATTATCCTCCTCCTCTTCCGATTCCACATCCATCCTCCCCCTCTTGGTGTACGACGTTGTGCCCAGCCTTTGAGTTCACTACATGCTCCTCCACGTCCCTGATCAAGGGAATTCGTCTGGCCATCGTTTCTGGATGGACTGGTAGCATTACGCGAATTGACGTATGGACCTAGGAAGAGAAGAGGAGGGAGGGAAGGACTACTTCAACATCGCTGCTAAGGGTGGCGCAACAAAGAATTAAGACCTCAGACCGCTGCCTGTCAAAACTACGAGGCAGGCCAACAGAAGTGGCCTGTCCCCGATCACAGGGCGCGGTATGCAGAGGGACATCTGGAAGGGCACCCGCCCAGAGGAAAGGGGAGGGACGGCCGCCGCACAGCCGCCGCCGCCGCCGCCGCCCCACTCCTCCTCATCACACGCATCCCTTACACATCCTCGTTGTCCGACCCCGCCTCCCCTTGGCAGAAGAAGAAAATCCGGCAAGACATAAACTTTCAGCGCTCCATGCGGATTTCTTGGATGTCCGCTGGACCCCATCCCCGGCGCGCGGAGCGCGCCGGGGGCGGCGCTGGAGGCGCCGCCGGGGGGGACCAGCGCGGATTAAGAGAACCGCGCAGAGCGCCAAAAGATTACGCTTATACCTTACGTTCTTTTCTTCTACCAAGGGGGGTCTGGGAGAGGAGGAGAAGGGGTCGGACAACGAGGACGTGTAAGGGAGGCGTGTGATGAGGAGGAGTGGGGCGGCGGCGGCGGCGGAGGCGGCGGCCGTCCCTCCCCCTTCCCCTGGGCGGCCGCCCTTCCGAATGTCCCTCTGCATACCGCGCCCTGCGATGATCTTTGATGTGTACACCATGCGAAATGCTTAAGAAATCATGGGTTAAGAAATTCATAGTCTCAGAAATTGAATAAAAACCCAGAACGTCTATCAAGATCTTGGGATTTACATTGAAACGTTAAGAATAATCGAGACTCTGGCCGAAAACTTAAGTTTTCTTAAGCATCGCCTAAGGTGTATGACATTTTTCTTTCCTCGCATTGGACGTCCAGAGCCGCCGCACCCGTCGGCCTACGGATCGCTGGCCCTCTCTGTCATCCACAGGGGCTGGGGGCCTGGCTCCTCCTCTGTCTGCCCTCTGCCTTCTCCCGCCTCATCCATCTCCTCTCCATCCTGCTTACCTGCCTCTCCCCAGCTGTGATTAACGACGCTGGGGGCGTTTCTGTACCCGACTTCCACTTTTTGCGCTCGACTCGATCAAAACGTTCTGGAAACGACTTCCTGGAATGTCGACGTCAGGCAGGCAGCATTGTGATACTTCAAAACCGCATTGACACGCATGAACAAACGGGAATATAACGAGCAAATGGGCCACGGGCCGATCCGGTACCTGAAAACGTAACAAAAACGGCGCCAAACACACGGAAAGAGCACGCCGGCCTTGCAATCTAGAAAAAGGCCCAGGCGTCCTTCAGGTCATCTGAACCTCCTCTTCCTCCTCCTCCTCCTCCTCCTCCTCCTCCTCCTCCTCATCTCCCGTCAACCTCTCCCCTCCTCACCCCCCAGGCTACAGAGTCTGCCCTCTTTATCATTACATGATGCTCCTCTTCCTTCTCCTCCGCCTTTGAGCGCCACAACCTTCCTTGGAGGCACCTTGCCAAGCATCTCGCGCACCGCTGGGAACTAACGAAGGCGGCGTTCTCTTGAGGCTCCGCCACAATTGTACGGAACCACATTGCCACAGAAAATGCGACCCCGAGGAGTCAACAGGAAGGAGGGAGGACTGACGGAAGAACGCAGATGGGACCACTTTCCTCTACTGATCCTGCGCCTCCGCTTTCTTCTTCCCCTTCTGCCCGCGGCCCGCGCGAGTGTGCGTGTGGCCGCTCCACGCCGAGAAGCGATCGCTTCAGGTCGGGCATGTCCCCCTACAGGCGGATTTGGGGCGACAAATAACAAGTGTTCAAAATGTATTATTCAACGATAATAAAAAAATAGTCTGAACATCGTATCCATTTTATTTGTTATGACTATTATTGAATGTTCCTCCTCTCCTGGCCAGGCGGGACCGTCCCACAAAACTGCCACGGTGCTCTCAACACGGCCCCGCGGCCCTCGCCGACACCCCCCTGGTTGGCCCGAGGCGCCTCGAGAGGTGCCCCATGCGATCCCTCTGGGGGGGCCCCGATGCCAGAAGCAGGTCGGGCCGGGCGAACGGGGGGGATAGCAGAGGGGAGGCTGGAGCATGAACTCACGCAGCTGACTTTCCCGGCGCCTCCCCGGCGCCGGGAGGCGCCATTGTATCGAGGCATGGGCCCGGCGGCGGGGCCGAAACCAGCCGCGTGCAGCAGATTTCGTAACCCCCCCTTCCCCTATCCCCCCCTTTCGCTCGGCCCGATGGTTGTTCCTCTCCGTCCGCTATCTGAGCAAACGCTGCACTAAGAATCGCCAGAGTCCAGCCTCCCCAAACAACGCTTTTAGAGCCAGCGTGGGTCCTGAATGTGTGTCCGCGCGTCCCCCGATGACCCTCCTCCTGCCCGTCGCCAGCCTCGTCATCGGCATGCTCCCTATCCCCCGCTGTCGTCCGGCCCGGCCGTACTTAGTGGCCCTCCTCTGCGCGGGAACCAGCGCGCCGCACCCGACGCCGTCGCCACGAGGGAGCGCAGGTCGGAGCCAAGCCGTCCCAACAAAAGCAACATCTCCTCCTCCTCCTCCTCCTCCTCGTCCTCCTCCTCCTCCGCCCTCCTCCTCCTCCTCCTCCTCCTCCCTCCTCCTCCTCGTCGCCCTGCTGCTCCTCCTCCTCCTCCTCCTCCTCCCTCCTCCCTCCTCCTCCTCCTCCTCCTCCTCCTCCTCCCTCCTCCTCCTCCTCCCTCCTCCTCCTCCTCCTCCTCCTCCCTCCTCCTCTCCTCCTCCTCCTCCTCTCCTCCTCCTCCTCTCCTCCTCCTTCCTCCTCCTCCTCCTCCTCCTCCTCCTCCTCCTCCCTCCTCCTCCTCCTCCTCCCTCCTCTCTCTCCTCCCTCCTCCTCCTCCTCTCCTCCTCCTCCTCCTCCTCCTCCTCCTCCTCCTCCTCCTCTTGGATGTTCTGCTACCGCGTGGACCGTCCAATCTTGCACGCCAGCCGCCGTCGGGGGCACCAGCAGGCGGCGGGGGCCTTCGACCTTGCACACCAATGCCCGCGCCGCCGCGCGCCAGAGGCAACCTTCACTGGCACTGCGCCGGATGGCGTTCGGGACCGGCGCCCCCGCACATCCGACGTCGTGTTTCTGTTGCTGTTCCCCCCGCAACACTACGGCACGAATGTATATACACGAACGCCCGCAGACGACCTTTCGATGCGCCTTCCAAGAAGAGTGGCCGTGTATCAAATCGCTGTCTGTCAGCGGCCACTCGTGCAACGCAGTCCTCCCAGTGTGACCCAGGAACTAGCCACTAAGGAGCGTCAGTGGTGCATTTGTGGCGGAAGCGTGGTTCCCCAGCGGTCTGGGTTCCTTCCCTGGGGACCTGCTTTTCAAACCGAGTCGTTTCAGGACAGCCCCGGAACTGGTAAAAGGCCCCCTGAAGCTGACAACAGCAGCAACACCTGCCCGTCGTGATCTCTCCTCGAGCACAGCATGTCAAGGGATGTCGTGCGGCACCGGCGGCGCCCTTCCGCATGCGCCACAACTTCAGCAGGAAACATGGGGAACAGTTGCCATCAAAATCTCTCCATGCGCCCAGGATGTCAGAAGATATCGTGCGGCACCGACGGCGCCGTTCCGCAATCGCCGCAGCCTCAGTAGGAGGCATGCGGACTACTGCTGTTGTGATTTCTCCACGCCGCGAAGACGTCAGGGAACGTCGTGCGGCACCAGCGGCGCCATTTCGCAATTGCAAGATGCATAGGGACGACTGCTGTCGTAATCTCTCCACATCGCAAACATGTCAAGGCATGTCATGCGGCAACGGCGGCTCCGTTCCGTGATCGCCGTAACTTCTGCAGGTGGTTTGCGGACTACTGGTGTCGTGATCTTCGGCACCAGCGGCGCCACTCCGCAATCGCCGCAGCTTCAGCAGGAGGCATGCGGACTAACGCTGTCGCGATCTCTCCACGACGCAAACATGTCAGGGGATGTCGTGCGGCGCCAGCGGTGCCATTTCGCAATCGCCGCAACTTCAGTAGGAAGCATGCGGACTACTTCCGTCGTGATCTCTCTACGACGCAAATAATGTTAGGGGATGTCGTGCGGTACCGGCGGCGCCGTTTGGTAATCGCCGAAGCTTAAGCAGGAGGCATGCAGACGACTCATGTCGCGATCTCTACACGGCGCAAAGATGTCAGGGGACGCCGTGCGGCAACGGCGGCGCCGTTCGGCAATCGCCACATCGAGCCGCATCGCCGATGCATCGGCGATGCGGCTCGATCCTCCGACACCATCTACTCCAACCCCATCTGGGAGGCCCAGACTGAAGTCGAACATGTCCTCCTACAGGCGGAGTTTGGGAGAAAGGTGAAACAACAAGTCAAGCAGTATTCAGCCATACGCAACATGTAGTCGAAACATCGTCCCCTGACGATCTTTTACTACTTTTTAGCATTCCTCCTGTAGGGGAACATGCCCGACTTAATCATGGCGTGAGGCGGCCGCCGGACGCTCGCGGCAGGATGACGAGGAAGAGAGCCGCTGGCTGGCCGCGGCGGGAGGAGGCGCCGCGCGCGTGCCCGCCCGGATGACGCTCCTCCTCCTCCTCCTCCTCCTCCTCCTCCTCCTCCTTTTCCGCCTCCCTCCACCCAAACCCTCCTCGTACTCATCTTCCCCACTGCCTCCTCATCGTCCCCGGATGCCGCGCGCACGCGCCTTTGGGGTTCATCGCTCCGGAGCGGCCGATGACCACGGACTTGGGGAATTTCTTCCCGTACTCCTGGGGCACAGTCCACCCGCCGAATGAGGACGCGCGATAAAAAGGATGCAAGGGCCTTGAAGGGCCATGTCAACACTTGGCGAGCGGGGCGCGGCCAGCGAAAGCGGCGGCGGATGCATCAAGGAGGCAGGGATGCGAGGGTACCCCTGGGAAGTTTGCCCACCCTGACTATGCGGGCCGACTGTACGCAGAAAATATGCCAGTGGCAAAAAACACACACATGTGTGTAAAAACACACAAACACACAAACATGTGTGTGTGTGTGATTTCGAGTGTGTATGTATTATTTGACTGTGTGTTTTGGTGTGTGCACGCGTTTCTTCCGCAGCGCAGTGACCATGCCTAGCCGCCGGCACAAAAAGTGTTTGTGTGTGTTGTGTGTGTTGTGTTGTGCTGTGATGTGGTGTGCTGTGCTGTGCTGTGCTGTGCTGTGTCGTGTTGCGTTGCGTTGCGTTGTGCTGTGCTGTGTTGTGTTTTGATGTGTGGTGTATTGTTGTGTTGTGTTGCGTTGTGTTGCATTGTGTTGTATGTGGTTGTGTGTGTGCGTGCGTGCGTGCGTGCGTGCGTGTGTGTGCGTGTGTGTGTGTGTGTGTTTTGCACCGGGACCGTGACTGGTCAGGGCCATCGTGGGCTTCCACATGGCGTGCACGCCCCGTGGCCGAATCCAGGCAAGCGCTGACACCATCGCGGATGGCCCGGGGTGGCCCTGGCCAGGGGCACGGTGGTGCTGTGTAGCTATCCTCTGCGGCTGGGGGCGTCGGGCGCTCCTGGGCCCGAGGAGGCCCTTGGCGAGGGTCAACGACGGCAGAAGGATTTGTTTGCGTCGGCGGCTAGGCAGGGGACGCTTGCGCTGGCGATGGATCGTGCCGAAATGGATATGCCGTTAGAGCGAATTGCGCCACTATGCAAAGAGGAGGAGCGGGGGGGGCGCGGCCGATGACAGAGGAACCATGCAAATATTGCATAAACATCGGTTCGCTGAGGTCCGCGAAAAGCTCTTGGATCGGCGCTGGACCCCTCCCTGGCGCGCGGAGCGAGCGCCAGGGAAGGCGACAGAGGCGCCGCTAGTGGGTTACAGCCTAGATCCAAGGAGTTTGCGCGGATTTCCGTGACATGGCGTGTGTGCAATGCTTGTTCGTTGCTCTTCGAAAAAAAAATGTTGTCAATATTACCTAACAGCGAAGACTGATAGGTTTCTAGTAGGGTCAGAAGAGAGCATCATGACTCCCCAGGGGGGTCTGGGCGGGATCTGGACAGGGTGCCCCGGGAAACCAGGGACTCCTTTTTTAGCCCACAGTAATGCACTTCGCGGTCTTCGAGTCCCCAGAACTCCATTCCTGAACATGATTTCGAATACCCCGAACCAGCTGTAGACCACTTCGTGTTCTTCGAATTCCCAGAACTCCATTCCTGGGCATGATTTGGAATGCCCGGAGCCATCTGTAAGCCACCTCGTGGTCTTCGAGTTCCCAAAACTCCACTCCTGGGAATGATTTTGAATGCCCGGGGCCAACTGTAGGCCACTTCGTGGTCTTCGAGTTCCCAGAATTTCACTCCTGGGCATGATTTTGAATGCCGGAACCAATCCTAGGCCACTTCGTAATGGTCGAGTTCCCAAAACTCCACTCCCCGGCCACATTTTGAATGCTGAGGCAGGGCTGATGCTGAGGCTGAGGCAGAGGCAGGCTGAGCTGAGGCCGAGGCTGAAGGCAGACTGAGGCTGAAGCTGATGCAGGCTGAGGCTGAAGCTGAGGCAGGCCGAGACTGAGGCTGAGGCAGGCTGAGGCTGAGGCAGGCTGAGGCTGAGGCTGAGGCTGAGGCCGAGGCTGAAGGCAGACTGAGGCTGAGGCTGAAGCAGGCTAAGGCTGAGGCTGAGGCAGGCTCAGGCTGAGGCTGAGGCAGGCTGATGCTAAGGCAGGCTTAGGCTGAGGCTGAGGCTAAGGCAGGCTGAGGCTGAGACAGGCTGAGGCTGAGGCCGAGGCTGAAGGCAGACTGAGGCTGAGGCTGAGCAGGCTGAGGCTGCGGCTGAGGCTGAGGCAGGCTGCGGCTGAGGCTGAGGCAGGCTGAGGCTGAGGCTGAGGCAGGCTGAGGCTGATGCCGAGGCAGGCTGAGGCTGAGGCTGAGGCAGGCTGAGGCTGAGACTGAAGCAGGCTGAGGCTGAGGCTGAGGCAGGCTGAGGCTGAGGCTAAGACAGGCTGAGGCTGAGGCAGGCCGAGGCTGAGGCTGAGGCAGGTTGAGGCTGAGGCAGGCATAGGCTGAGGCTGAGGCTGAGGCTGCGGCTGCGGCTGCGGCAGGCTGAAGCAGACGCAGAGGCAGGCTGATGCTGAGGCTGAGGCTGAGGCTGAGAATGGTGCAGGCTGAGGCTGGGCTGGCTGAGGCTGAGGCCGAGGCCGAAGGCAGATTGAGGCTGAGGCTGGAGCAGACTGAGGCGGAGGCTGAGGCAGGCTGAGGCTGAGGCTGAGGCAGGCTGAGGCTGAGGCAGGCTGGGGCTGAGGCAGGCTGAGGCTGAGGCAGGCTAAGGCTGAGGCTGAGGCAGGCTCAGGCTGAGGCTGAGGCAGGCTGATGCTAAGGCAGGCTTAGGCTGAGGCTGAGGCTAAGGCAGGCTGAGGCTGAGACAGGCTGAGGCTGAGGCCGAGGCTGAAGGCAGACTGAGGCTGAGGCTGAGCAGGCTGAGGCTGCGGCTGAGGCTGAGGCAGGCTGCGGCTGAGGCTGAGGCAGGCTGAGGCTGAGGCTGAGGCAGGCTGAGGCTGATGCCGAGGCAGGCTGAGGCTGAGGCTGAGGCAGGCTGAGGCTGAGACTGAAGCAGGCTGAGGCTGAGGCTGAGGCAGGCTGAGGCTGAGGCTAAGACAGGCTGAGGCTGAGGCAGGCCGAGGCTGAGGCTGAGGCAGGTTGAGGCTGAGGCAGGCATAGGCTGAGGCTGAGGCTGAGGCTGCGGCTGCGGCTGCGGCAGGCTGAAGCAGACGCAGAGGCAGGCTGATGCTGAGGCTGAGGCTGAGGCTGAGAATGGTGCAGGCTGAGGCTGGGGCTGGCTGAGGCTGAGGCCGAGGCCGAAGGCAGATTGAGGCTGAGGCTGGAGCAGACTGAGGCGGAGGCTGAGGCAGGCTGAGGCTGAGGCTGAGGCAGGCTGAGGCTGAGGCAGGCTGGGGCTGAGGCAGGCTGAGGCTGAGGCAGGCTGAGGCAGACTGAAGCTGAGGCTGAGGCAGGCTGATGCCGAGGCAGGCTGAGGCTGAGTCAGGCTGAGGCTGAGGCCGAGGCTGAGGCTGAGGCCGAGGCTGAAGGCAGACTGAGGCTGAGGCTGAGGCAGGCTGGGGCTGAGGCTGGATGAGGCAGAGGCAGAGGCAGGCTGATGCTGAGTCAGGCTGAGGCTGAGGCTGAGGCAGGCTGAGGCTGAGGAAAGATGAGGCTGAGGCTGAGGCTGAGGCAGACGCTGAGGCAGGCTGAGGCTGAGGCAGGCTGAGGCTGAAGCAGGATGAGGCTGAGGCAGGCTGACGCTGGGGCCGAGGCCGAAGGCAGACTGAGGCTGAGGCTGAGGCAGGCTCAGGCTGAGGCTGAGGCAGGCTGAGGCTGAGGCCTAGGCTGAGGCAGGCTGATGCTGAGGCAGGCTGCGGCTGATGCTGAGGCAGGCTGAGGCTGAGGCTGAGGCGGATGCAGGCTGAGGCTGGGGCAGGCTGAGGCTGAAGGCAGACTGAGGCTGAGGCTGAGGCAGGCTGAGGCTGGTGCTGGGGCAGGCTGAGGCTCAGGCTGAGGCAGGCTGATGCAGGGTGAGGCTGAGGCAGGCTGAGGCTGAGGCCGAGGCGGATGGCAGACTGAGGCTGAGGTTGAAGGCAGACTGAGGCGGAGGCTGAGGCAGGCTGAGGCTGAGGCTGAGGCAGGCTGATGCTGAGGCAGGCTGAGGCTGAGGCTGTGACTGGGACTGCCCTTGCCACTGCGACTGTCATCGCGAATGCGACGACGACCGCGAAGAACAGCAGAATTCTACAACTGGATTATCATCTGAATATCAAGGGGAATGTTTCCAGATATGCCTCTACACGTCGCTGTTATGTTGCTTTGCCGGGATAGTTTGTTCCCATATCCCGTGCGTCTTGGACTTGCTCGGAAGGGGCGCCAAAAGGCCGAGGCGCAGTGGATATGGATGAGCATCTGGCCTCTAGGGGCCAGATCTTGATCCGCAGCCGCTGCGCCTCGTGAGATCTGAACCAGGGAGCCCGAAACTCCAAGACGCAGTGGATATGGATCCCCACCCAACCCTGTTCCCAGGCCAGAGTCCAACATTCGTCTGTTCGAGCCTATTGCCCAGCCTCAATACTCGACAGCTGCGCGCGGCCGAAGAGGCCGCGCGACCCTCGCCGGGCACAGTCCAGGGAAAAACTGAAAGAGAAATGCGCGAGGCGGTCCCCTATCATAACCTTAAGAGCGCCGGTCGAAGAGAGTCCGGGCAGCCCGAGAAATTGAATGGCATCGCAGAGCGCGGAAGGCCCGTTTGTCCTATTTCGCGCTCTAGACCAAGAGCTGCGCGGCATGCCGAGCCGGGCCCCCCGCGGCAGCCCGCCTCGAAACCATCTGCGCACCACCTGCTGAGCACGCCGCGTGCTGGGATCTCCCAGGGCGGGCACGCGGCGCGCGTCGAGCTCGAAGGCGCGGGGGGGCCCGCGCGAGGGGAGAGCGCGCCGCAGGGCCCGCGACCAGTTGCCTGAGCCAGTGAAGATCTCAATGTCACCTTCGAGTCGGCAGCGCGGGCCCAGGCGCTCAGGTCCCGCGTGGGGCGCCGCCAACTGTCGCGGCGCAGCCGAGGGCCTAAGCCTGCCGGTCTGGATGAAGGCGCTGATGTTGCCCCTGCACTCGCCCTCCCTCGGCATCTTTTGAGGCCCCGGTCGGCCTCCCAGCGGCCTCGCTTCTTGATGTCTCCGAACTCGCGGGCGTTCGCCAACGTCTCGTGGCTGGTCCCCCCGCGGCGCTACTGGTAGAGAGCTCGGGAGGGCCGAGGCCCTCCAGCCCGAGGGCGGCGCCTGCCCGCTGGGAGGTTCGGACCCAGCTCCTCACGCACAGGGCGAACAGCGGGAGCTCGGCGCCCTGCCCCTCGACGAGGCGGCCAAGCACCTGGTCCATCCTGTTGAACTCCGGGCTGTCCAGCAGCAAGCTGATGTCGCAATCCTCGGTCTTCGACCGGGCCTCGAGCTCGGCGGGAAACGGCGGGGCGGCCTCGCTCGCGCGGCGCGGCCCGCGCTTCGCCGGCCGCGCGACCGACCCCGCCCGCGGCGACAGCGTCTCCGACGGCCGCAGACAGAGGACAAACGTCAACGCAATAGCCAAGGCGGCCACCGCGAAGCCGTTCGTCGCCACTCAAATCGCCACCCACGCCACCGCAGGCCACGGCAGGGGCAGCCGCGCCCGCGCCTGGGGAGGCGCAAGGACCTCCCAGCCCTTCAGCTCCCGCTGCGCCCGCGGCAGTTTACCCAGCTTGGGCATCAGGTCCGGCGCTGCCGCCGCCTGGTTCGACCCGACCAGCGAGCCGTGCCCGTCGAAGAACAGCTGGTTGAAGTGCACCAGGAGCGCCTCCTCCCAGTCCGGAGGGCGGTCACCAGACGCCTCGCTGCAGCCGCCCAGCTCGGGAAAGCGTTGCATCGGACCTGGTGCTCCACGGCATTCTTCTCCCCCACCGCCTTCAGCTCCAGGAGCGACCTCTGCCCGCGGCCCTGCCAGCTCGCGCCGTCCGGGCGCCCTCTGGCGCTTCGCGCGGTCCGCGTGGTCCAGCGGCTCGGCCGCCGCTGACCGGGGCCTCGCGCAGCTCGACGGCGCGGGCGACCCTGCCAAGGTCCCAGCAAGCCTCTTCCTCGAGGCCGGGCGGGGGGCCGAGGGCCACTGGCCCATGCGCCAGGAGACCCCCTTCCGCCAGCCCAGAGGTCGCAGCCGGCGCCGCCAGCGTCCGAACAGCCCGCCCCTGCTGCCGTCGAAGCACAGCCCACGTCCGGCAGGTTCCTGGAGACGCGGCCCGCGGAGTTGCGCTCGCTGGGGACCCTGCGCTAGAAAAAGGCAGCACCACTAGCCAGCGAAAAGGCCGCCAGCAGTCGGCACGCTCGGCCCATCTCCCGTCGCGACGACCGCCCCTTGGCGGCGGCCAGGATGGCCCCCGGACAGTCTCCCAAGAACAATTATACTTGAAGGGGGATGCACGTCGAAGGACGCGGCGAACTGCAACGGCCACCCCCCGACCCTCGAGGACGAATTGGTGCTCAGAGAGACCCAAGTGGCGCCAAACGACGGGGTGCCAACCCTCTTCCCAGACGTCGTACGGGATTTCGGGGAACTCCCCCACCGCCGTGCTGTCCTGCCCCTCCTCCTCCGCCTCGAGCATCGTTTCGGGGGTGATGTCCAGGCCCAGGCCCATCTCCCCCACCTTCTGAAGCTTCCTGGGATTGCAGTGCAGGCCAGGGTTCGACTCCGGGATGAAGAGCGCGGCGGACTTCGCAGACTTCAGAGCGCGTGCTCGATGTGATACCTCAACCTCGTCATCAGCATTGAATATCCACCTCTCGATGTATCGGGACAGGCCGAGAGCGACTCCGGCGATGACATTTTCCTAGGTGACCCCAAGTCCCCACCAGGACGAGCCGACCATCGCGAGCCTGCCACCGAACGCGGCACCAACGCCACGAAACCAAAATACAACCAGGCTCGCACACCAGCGCAGCTCGCGCAAGCAGGAGGTCCAGAGCCGAGCCGCGCGGCCCCCACACAGGGCAGAACAAAGAATATTCATTGAGCGTTGAGGCTGGACAGGAGCTCGTGGCGGATCGGAGCCGGCGACGCGAAGTGCGAGACGAACCGGGCGATCCTGTTGCCCGAGGCGGAACCCTTCCGACACAGCTCCAAGAAGGCGAGCCTCAGCTTCCACCTCGAAGCTGGGTTCAGGCCGATGATCGGGAACTGCTCGTCGAACTGCCAGCCCAGCGCCGGGGCCCTAAAACTGCATTCAACTCCGTGGGTCGGAAGACCCGCCGCGCGGAGCTGGGCGCCCACTGCCGCGGGCCACCTCGGGGATGGTCGACAAGCTGAGAGCGTTGCCCACGTGCTCGGCGTGGACCACGTCGCCCGTCACTCGGGCCACAGGGCGTCGATCCACGACGCGGTGGGCAACGGTGAGGCCGGGCGCATGTAGGGCCATCGCCTCCAGCATTGTCCGGAAGATCCAGAGGCCGAACAGACGGCCCATGGGCGGGCGCCTGAAGCATGGGTAGACCACGCCCGCCACGCCGAGCTGTCGGCCGTCCGCGGTGCAGTCGAGCCCCAGCTGGCCCGCGCGGATCCCAGGCAACGCGAAGCACCGCCGAAACGCAGGCGGCTGCAGCATCGCGTTGAAGGCGTCGGCCAGGTCAACATCGGCGGCCGCGATGGGATTCCCGCCGTCGACGCGGAGCTCTGCGAAGCTCGCCCCAGACGCGAGGACCGTGAAATTCAAAGGAACGTGCTGGCCGTCCAGGATGTGCCGCAACTTCGCAAACTTCTTAAAAGCGAAAAGCACGCCCACGCTGCCGGCTTTGTCAGCGTAGGAGTCGATGAGGTTCCGACGATCGAAGATCCGTCGGAGCTAGACATACAACTCGGGTGTCCTGAGTGCCGGGTCAGCGCGAAGCTTCCGAGAACACTCGGACTCGATCCGAGCCCGACCAGACTGGGACAACATCATTTCATGAAGCCGCCCGACTATCTTGCGGTCAGCACCTCCACCCAGCGAGTCAAGCGGCACGGGCTTCAAACCTTCAGCAGAGAGCGAGAGGCTGTTGACATCATCAAAGTCGAACGGAACGACCGTGGCACTCTCGCCGGCATTGTCGCTGAGAATTCGGACCTCCTCACGGGCTCCTGAGCCAGTCAATCCCTCCGGGGGCTCACCAAACCGACGAAGCGCATGACAAACGTTGACGAGGGCCTGCTGCTGGTCCGCAGGGGTGGACTGAGGGTGGCCGCCGCCGGGCTGGCACGGCCGGCCGACGTGCAGCTCGTTGACGGCGCGCGCGACCTCCTTCACCATACACTCCACTTGACCGCGCCGACGGACACGACGAACCACCGAGCGGGTGCACTTGACACCATGTGCCTCTGAATGCGCCTGATGCTCTTGATCAGGACACGGAAGTGGACAAATATCACGCTGCCTGCCAACTGCAGTGCCCTCAAAGTGCTTCTCACCAGCGGGTGGCGGGTCACCGAGGCTGGGCCCCCCTCCGAAAACACGCGAACCGCCGGGGGGATGCGGTCCGCGTGGCACGCCCACCGTCATGATCGCAAGGCCCGCTGCTCCTCGCGGGCCTTGCGTACCTGCTTCAGCACCGAAGCGTCCCTTTCCACCTCTATTGCCACGCGCTCGAAAAGCTGCGGGCACATCATGCTCTCTCCGTGGTCTCGGCTGAGACCTGTGAAGACAGCACTCCCGTCGATCAACCCGAAGCTCAGCAGGCTGTGGAAGCCTCCGTCACGGCCTCGACCGCGGCCTCCTCGCAATTTCTTGTCGTCGCCCTCGCCGCCGCCGTCGCCAACACTACCACTGCTGTGGCGAGAGTCACGGTCCACCACGTAGACGTACTCATACATCTGGCACCTGCGGAGAATCTGCTCCGCACCAGCTATATTGGGCAAGTCGAAAGCAGCCCAACAAACCATCCTCGTAGTCATCTTGTCGTAGTCGTTCACACCGTAGTCGTCTGCCGACATGCCCAGGGCCGACTTCCAGAACCGGAAGTGATCCAGCAGGCCGCCCTGGCGCTTGTCGGTGTACTTGCAGCACTACAAACATGGTCTCGACACTGGGATGCGCCAGTCGACGAAAGTCTCCTCGGTGAAGCTCGCCGCCGCGTCGCGCCACTGCCGCAGCAGCCAACCTCCAGACACAGCGGGGTTCGCCAGGATGCCCATCAGCCGGGCGTCCGAGGCGGCCTCACGACCAGCATACTCCTGAACCGATCCCGAAATCGACCCGATCGCCACCTACGACCCGTCGGCCAGCGGCACGACGCCCACCTACCCCTTCAGCTCCGAGCCCGCCGGAAGGGTCACCCCCATCCCGCGGCGACCATCCGTCGTGCATTCGATGAACACCCACACGGCGGCGGGTCCCGCGGCGGCGGCACCCGCCAGGCCGGCGGCCCCAGCACCCGCTCCCGCGGCCGCCCCAGCCGGGGCCCCCGCACCAGGGTCCCCCCCAGCGGGGACCAGGGCGGCGGCCAGCGGCACAGCGGCAGGCCCAGCGGCGACCACCGCAACGGCGCCTGGAGACGCAACGGGGCCTGGGCCGACCGTCGGCGGGATCAGAAACGGCCCAACACGAACAGGTAGGCGGAGCCGTCGATGGTCTGCAGCCAGGGCGGTCGTGCACTAGTCCATCGCCGTCCGATCGATCGCCAGCATTTCAACGGCCGTCAGGTCTCGCCGGAATCGATACGACTTGGCCGCCTGGATACCAGCTGGGTACGTAGCACGCCCACTCGCATACTGCACGGCGACGATGTCAGTGCCAGCACACTCGTAATCCTCCTCGTGGATGTTGGTGTCCACCGCACGGAGCAGGAAGTCGAGGGCGGAGCCAGGCTCAATCGGAACCCTCGCCCGTCGCCCCAAGATCAGCCGCTGGTGCCATAGCTTTCCGTCGTAGCGAACCCAGGCCCACTGTCGCACCTCCGGAAGAGCCGCCTCCGCTGGTGCCAGTCTCGCTAAGGCCATCATGGCCACGGCGCCGTAGACGTACCACACCACCAGGCCGCCCAGGAGGATCAACTTCAGCAGCACCACCATGACGAACCAACAACACACACACCCATACCCATAACGGGGTCGGAAAGGGCTATGGGTGCGTGTTGTCGGATGGGGGTCCCCGCTCGAACGGGAGCGTTCCCTAGGGTCCGACAACCCGCACCCATACCCATAGCCAGTCCTCCTCCCAACGACCCCCTTATGGGTATGGGTGTGTGTTGTTCGTTCGTCGCACCAGCCAACACGAGGTCACAGCCGCCCCCTCCTCCTCCTCCTCCTCCCCCTCCCCCTCCTCCTCCTCTCGCCTCCTCCTCCTCCTCCTCCTCCCCCTCCTCCTCCTCCTCCTCTCGCCTCCTGCCTCGGAGCCCACAGGGCCAAGGCTGGCAAGAGCGGGCGATCCTCCCGGGCACGCCGGGCAGCCAGGCGACGGAACGCACGCCGCGCCGCTCGGCGTCGGCGGGCACGGCGGCATGGTCATGGACGGGCACCTCTGGAGATTGCCGCCCCGAAGGCAGCCGAGAGCACCCCGCCAAGCGCACCGGGCTGCAGGGAGGAGATATTCCATCCGCACCGCCTGGTTGCCAGTTCTTGAGCCCCCCAAAACCCAGGGGCAGCAACTACATCGACGGCCTGGGCACCGAGACCAGTGAGGAAAGACATGCACACACCTCAGATATACAGACCATGCCCGCATTTGACTACCTACCAGACCACCCCAACCCAACCCGAAGACCCGAATTTAGGGTTGGGGGGGGTACGGGTTCCACACGTGTTTTTTCGATGTTCCCCGACCCCCCCCCCCCCACTGGAAATGGAGGGCAAATTGAAGCCTTCGGGTTGGGTTGGGGTGGTTTGGTGGGTGGTGAGCATTGGGGGGCGAGGCCGTTTCGAAGAGGGTGGGGGGCCACATCGGAGCTCCTCTCCACCTCATCGCAGCGCGTTGCGTCAGCCTCCCCTGTCAGAACCGGCGGCGCACGGCGCCCTCCTGCCACCCCTTCCGCCGCCCTGCCTCGTTCCACACCGCCACCCTCCAACCGTCAGTCACCCTGCATTCTCCGCCCGCCACCCTCCATCCCCCGTCCGCGTTCGGGCCTTCTCCATCGTCCATCCCTGGCATGCTGGATCCGAAATCCTCCGACCCATCAATCTTATCATCCGCATCCTCGTGCAAGCCTCCTCCATTCTCCCCTTCCTCCACGCCCCCCCCTTCCTACGCACAAGCTCCATCCAGGTCCCCTCTTCAATCCCTTATCCATTTCCTCCCTCCCCTCTCCGTCCCTCCCTGTCTGTCTCTCGCGCTCTGACCTCTAACCGCCCTCCCACTCCCCCCCACCCCTCCCTCTTTCTCCGTTCCCCACCGCTCTCCCTAGTCCTCATCCGTGCTCGTTGACAACAACTCCCTCCTCCTTCCCCTTTATTCCCTCCTCATCCCTGCCGCCGCCATCCGTCCGTCCGACATGTTCTCCATTGTGCTCCTGTATTCTGTATGTATACATTTATATACACATATACACGCACGTTCAGCCTACACACTTCACACATGCGCCGGTATCCCGCCTGCCTGCTTCTGATTCCTTCCTCCTCTTCCCGCGTCCCCCTCCTGCTCCCTCACTCCACTTCCACACCCCATTTGTCAATCACAACTCGACTCGTTGTGTTGGTTCCGCTTCCCCAGGGAGCGGTCTCCTGCAGCGCGGACGCGGGAAGTAGCAGCGGCACCGGATACTCGCACTCCTCGATCACCCAGACCCTGGGAACGAAAAAAAGGAGGAGGGACCAGGAGAGGGGAGAGGGAAGGATGGGGAGAGAAGAGAGGGAGGGGGGCAACGCTGGCTTTTGGGGGAAGGATTGGCAAGAGCTGGGGCGGGGGGCGGGGGGGAGGAAAGACGCCGCGGGAGAAGAGGGGGCAAGAGGTACAGGGCAACCAGCACGCCTGCGGGCAGGCATGAAGGGGCCCTGGGACACACGAGTAAATTCATACTAATAAAAAGATTCCCGACATTTTCCTATATTTTCTGGGTTTCTGTCTTCCCCCCCATTTCCAATATTTTCCCATATTTTCTGAGGAATCGAGGATTAATTGTCTGTGTGTTTGTTCCTCTCCTGAAGGCACGGGGGCAGGGCCCGGCTTGGGGGAGAAGGTGACCAAACCAGCCATGCCGAGTGCGCGGGCCGGGATGGCCAGGCTCTTGGCTCGTCTTGAGGCCATCTTGGGCAATCCGGGAGCGGTTTTTGTTCATTTAAGAACAACAAGCAACAACAAACAAACACAACAACAACAACAACAACAACAACAACAACAACAGCAACACCAACAACAACAACCACAACAACAACAACAACAACAACAACAACAATCATTTAAGACTGGGGACACTCCGTTCTCACCAGTGCCAGGGTTTTCATAGGAGGCGGGCAATACCCCCACTTTGTGGGGGGGCCGGTTCAAGCTCTACCAAATTTCCAAACGACTCTTCGCCACCACCCACACCCAGCTTCCCGCCCTATGACGTTCGGACACTTCACTTCGTGGCATGCGGACGACCGTGGCTACTATTCAGGGCCCCGCGGCCGACGACGACGGCGTGCGCGCGCGAAGAAAAAACGAATGTGTCCCGCATGGTATTATTTGACAGGGATGATGGCCCTGGCAGGTGCGCAACCGTTGTCGCAGAAGTTCGAAAAAGTTGCTCGCAAAAGCCCGTTTGACAGAAATGTTTAAAAAGTGTTGGGTTTCCTACGAATCCGCAAGAGCGCGCGGGATGAGATTTTGACATTTTTTTGTTGAAAAACCATTGGTTTTTTGATGTTTTTATGTTAAAATCGCTCCGAACACTAAGCTTTTGGAAGGATTTCGTCTTGCGCGCGCGAATGTCCACTTTACCTTATTTTTTGCAAGGGATTCTTGAAATTTGATTATATTAGAACAAGAAATGTCATTTTATAGTGTTTTTTGCAAGGGAAAGCGGGGGGGAACAAAACAACCGGATCTTGATCACATCGAATTACCTGAGGCTTCCTCACGAAAATGATGAAAATGTAGCTGCGGCCTAGGCGGCGCAGGGGGGCCGTGCACCAGGGGTCCCAACAATAATTATTCTTTAGAATTAATGATGTTCAACAACAACACCAACAACAACAACAACAACAACAATCAGTTTAAGACTGTCCGCTCTTACTTGCCCGCGTGCCATGCAAGGTGTATACCCACGCCCTCGATACCCGCCCCCTTCGTCTTCGAGCGTACCCCCTTCTGGGGGGATTCTTTCTTTTTGCGGGGGCGGGCGGGCTTAGACAAGCGGGCGTGAACGGGCGGGGAATTATTCGGAGGATGGGGCACGCATCTCTTTGCCCACCATTGGAATTAGCGCGGGCCCTGCAAGAAGAGGAAGGGGGAGAACGAGGGAGAGTGGGAGGAAGGGAGGGGAGGGACGAGGCTAAAGGGGAACACGCCAGGAGAGAGGGGGCGAGGAGGGGGGGGGGGACGATTGGAGATAGAGAGACAGAGGAGGGAGGAAGGAGGAGGCTGGAGAGGGGAGGGCGAAGAGAGGAGGGAGGAGGGTTATGGGAGGAGGGTGAGGGGAGAGAGGAAGAGGGAGGAGGAGGGTGGATATGAGGGAGAGGGGAGGGAGGAGGGAGGTTGGATGGGGAGGAAGGGGCAGGAGGGTAAGAGTGTGAACGTTCGAGGAAGTCCTAGGCGAGGGCGTATTCCTCAAGGAAGAGTTGGGCGGGAGCGGGGGTCCCGAGTACATTGTCGGACGTCTCAGGCGGGAGCGCCGGTCGGGCGGGCGGACCCTGACGGGCGGGTCGGGCGGGCGGGACATTCAAACGGGATTTTTGCGTAAATTGCGAGGAAGTATTAAGCGAGAGCGCGATTCCTAAGTAAATTGCGAGGGCGTCCTTGGCGCGAGCGTGGTTCCTGAGCGTCGAGAGCGCGATGCTGCAATAAATTGCGAGGAAGTCCTAAGCGACAGCGCCATTCCTGAGTAAATTATGAAGAAGTCTCAGGCGGGAGCAGGGGTCCTGACTAAGGAAGTCTCAAGCGGGAGCGCCGCTTTTGCGTAAAATGTGAGAAAGTCTGAAGCGGGAGCGCCCTTCCGGAGTAAATTTTGAGGAAATGTCAAGCGGGAGCGGGGGTCCTGAGTAAATTGTGAGGAAGTCTCAGGCGGGAGCCGTTGTTGTTGTAGTCCGGGGCCCAACAACGCAATCTGATCCGCAAGGCTTTCCCTGTCAAAAAACAAGGTAAGCACTTCAATTGAAAAAACAATGGGCACCGGACAGGGGGGATAAACAATAATTATTCTTCAGAAATGAGAGTTCAACAACACCAACAACACCAACAACAACAACACCAACAACAACAACAGCAACAACAACAACAACAACAACAACAACAACGACAACAGCAACAGCAACAACAACAGCAACAGCAACAACAGCTACGGCAACAACAACAATGACAACAACAACAGCAGCAGCAACAGCAGCAACATAAACAACAGCAGCAACAACAGCAACAACAACAACAACGACAACAACAACAACAACACCAACAACAACAGCAACATCAACAACAACAACAACAACAACAATCACTTTACCCGAACGCTCAGTGTTCTCACCAGTGCCAGGGTTTTCATGCGACGCCAGCCAATACCCCCACTTTGTGGGGGGGCAGTGCAAGCTCTACCAAATATCCACACGACTCTTCGCCACCACCCACACCCAGCTTCCCGCCCTATGACGTTCGGACACTTCACTTCGTGGCCTGCGGACGACCGTGGCTACTACACTGGCGTGGAGTACACACCCACAGAAGTTGTTAAGCCTACGTTCGTACACCCACAGAAGTTGTTAAGCCTTGTGAACCCACAGAAGTTGTTAAGCCTTCCACAGAACATCTGTTGCATATGATGCATATGGTACATGATACACATGATACACATGATACGTACTCACAAGATAGTTGATCACATCTTTAGGGCAAATTCCTGAGGGATGTGGGAATACACAAGAGAGAGAGGATATGGTTGTCCCGATGGTTGTCTCGATGGTTGTCCCGATGGTTGTCCTGATGGTTGTGGTTGTCCCGACCTACGGTGCGATTCGTGTGATTTTATGATGCGCGGTGCTAAAATTCTTAAGAACCCAATGGTTTTTGGAGATTTCGGCGTGCGCGCGCGAAGAAAAAACGAATGTGTCCCGCATGGTATTATTTGACAGGGATGATGGCCCTGGCAGGTGCGCAACCGTTGTCGCAGAAGTTCGAAAAAGTTGCTCGCAAAAGCCCGTTTGACAGAAATGTTTAAAAAGTGTTGGGTTTCCTACGAATCCGCAAGAGCGCGCGGGATGAGATTTTGACATTTTTTTGTTGAAAAACCATTGGTTTTTTGATGTTTTTATGTTGAAATCGCTCCGAACACTAAGCTTTTGGAAGGATTTCGTCTTGCGCGCGCGAATGTCCACTTTACCTTATTTTTTGCAAGGGATTCTTGAAATTTGATTATATTAGAACAAGAAATGTCATTTTATAGTGTTTTTTGCAAGGGAAAGCGGGGGGGAACAAAACAACCGGATCTTGATCACATCGAATTACCTGAGGCTTCCTCACGAAAATGATGAAAATGTAGCTGCGGCCTAGGCGGCGCAGGGGGGCCGTGCACCAGGGGTCCCAACAATAATTATTCTTTAGAATTAATAATGTTCAACAACGACAACGACAACGACAACAACAACGACAACAACAACAAACAAACGGGCGATCCGGGAGCGATCTTGGGGCGCCGTGGAGGCTTCCTGTGGCGTGTTTGGGGGGCCCTCGTGGGCGCTCCCTCGGCGCGCGTTCGGGCGGCCCCAGGCCCCGCGGAAGCCCCCCCCCCCCCCCTCCCGAGACGCTCTGGCAGAGGGGGGGCACTTCCCCATGCACGGGGGAGAGGCCTGGAACCGCCATGCATGTGTCGAGAGGGCGCAGCTCGAGGAATGGGCGGAGGGATGGGCGAAAGGCTGGGAGAGGGCGCTGAGCGGCCAGCAGCTGCTCGCGCCTCAGCCTGCGAAGACCGCACGCACTAGACCGACAGTGCAACGCCATTGCCACGAACAAGTCAGGGTGAAATGTCGCTCCGTCGTTCAACGTAAACTGCAGCACCATGTGATTATGCGACTCTTCGATGATTCGGATTCAGAGCTCGCCGCATCCAGCCCCCCCCGTGCGCTTCTCGAGACTGGCATAATTGAGACGGTCTAGGGATTATAAACCGATCGTGTTCCGCTTCCGCTACTTTTCGCTTTCAAACATCCTGCAGCTTCTGGGCCCCACTCCCTCCCCCCCCTTCTCCTTACCCTCCCCTCCTTGCCCCCCTTGCACATGCCTCTCCCCCTCTCCTTCCCTCACCCTGTGCCTCGCCTCCTCTCCCCCTCAGCCCCACTCTCCTCACCCTTCTGCTCCACTGTCATTCCCCCCCACTCCTCACCTCCCCCCGCCCATGCTCTCATACACCCTCCTCCTCCTTCTCCTCTTCCTCCTCCTCCTCATTCTCCTCCTCCTCCTCCTCCTTCTCCTTCTCGTGCCGTCTATCCCCCTTCCCGTCCCATGGCTGAGCAATCTCGGATGATCTTGGATGAAGGGGCCCAGGGACACATATACACACATACAGGAAGAGACGCGCATCCCAGGATTCTCCCCACCTTCCCATAATTATCTTCTGGAGGTTCACCTTCCCGTCCACGTCCCTCCTCCTGGTTGGAGTCCCTGGGGGGGGCACCTCGGGGCAGAGGCCAAAAGCGTCCGGCCTGGCCTCGCGGAAAGCATGGCGACGACACGCCAAGCCACGACCGCGGCCCCCGCCCCCACCTCTACGCACTGCTCCTCGAGGCAGGCGCGCACGGGGCAGGGTCACTCGGGGATGGACAGACCTCCCTTTAGTAAAACGTGGTTTAGTGAAAACGCCCTTGGGCCCAAACCTGGCAGACGCAAGTCTGGAAAATAACGGCCACGGCGCCCTCTCGAAAACCGAAAACGGACAATTCACTAATCGACGTGTCACTATTGGGGGTTCTGTCCTCCCCCGAGTCATAGGGGGGGAGAGACCAGGCACGGGACGCCGCCGAAGTCCTGCTGCCGCACGGCGCCCAGCATCCGGGAAGCGCGAGTGTGGGAGCACGGCGAAGCGCGAGGCGGCGGCACCGGAACCTCCGTTTTTCCCGGGGACCCTCTCGGGGTCCAGACGCACCAGCTGTCCGAGCGGCGTCCGGGGGCCGTGGCGGCGAGGGGGCGGGGGGCCCGAAGGCCACCTGCCACCGTCACCACTAGACAAGCGCGCTCCACTACTCGCAGAAAGTGACTGCTCGTGAATGGCCTGGATCCTCCGCGGGGGATTCACGATCCATGACATCTAAGAAGACCTGTTTTTGTTCGGACGTTTGCGAGTAGGAGCTTTGCGAGTAGCGAAACGCGCTCGGTGAACCACTGGCCCTCCTCGGAGCGCGGGCCAGGAAGCCTGTCCGTGAGGGAGTTGCAGTCCCTCATCCAGTCCATCTGCTCCCGGTCGCCGGCGACCTGGCGGGCCCCCCTCACTGCAGTGTCCTCCGCTCAGCAGGCCGCCTTTAGAGCCCTCCCAGGATGGGGCCGGAGCAGATGGGGTAGGAGTATCGCGCTGCATCGCCGACGCACCGCGGATGCGCGGCGAAGTGGCGACGTCGGCACTGCGTCGTCGGCGCCGGCGCGGAGAAACTGCGGCACACCCCAGCGATCCGAGGTCGCTTTTTGTGGTTCGTTTCTAGACGCGGCCCCCAGAAGTCTCGACCCATTCCCCAGGACCCGTTTCTCATCCTGAGCCGTGTCTTGACGGTCCTGGCGGGAGCCCCATCGAGGCCGACTAGTGCGAAAAACCTCCGTCCTGACTTCTGCCAATGCGTGGGACCTCTGGGACCGTCGAGCCGCCTCGCCGGTGAGGAGGAGGAGGAGGAGGAGGAGGAGGAGGAGGAGAATATAGAGGAGGAGGAGGAGGCATCGATGCGACGCGATCATCCGACCCACTCTGCGCGGATCCTGCCTGGGAGGCCTGGCGCCCAGCAGCCCGCCCCTTTCCCTGCTCGGCCCGCCCGCGCCCCGGGGCACCTGCCGACGCGAGTCGTGACGTGACCGCAACCCCCCCATTCCGCCCCTTCTGCGCGGCAACTCACAGGAAGAGCTCGACCACAAGGAACCTTCCACGAGAAACCCAACCCTGAGACCCCAGGACGCCCATCGGTCTTTGGTGCGGGGACGTCACGCTCTCCATAGCAAAACCATCGACACGCCAGAAACCCAGGGTGTCCTGGAGGCTAGAAGAGAGTTTCTTGGCATGGGTTTCCACTGCATGGAAGCCTCCCATACCATCTTTTTGGCTCTGGCGAATCGACACTACTCGACGCTGACTCGACGCTAAGCTGACGCTCATACGGCGGCATCTCATCGGCTACTCGGCTAATCAGGATAGTTGCATGCGAATCTCCCAGGATACTCTGGAAATGCTCCTCCTCATCGTCTTAGTGACTACAGAGGCCCTCTTCCCGTCTGGCCTCTGCTGGCCACTGCCGACTCTTACAGGTATGATGGGGGATGGCTGCCTCGGCTTGCAAAGGACGCTCGACAAAGGAATGAGGCTACCGCTCGAGGCCTTCTCGTGATTCAGGCTCCCAGGTGTCACCAAGCAAATGTTTGTTACAGAGTCTCCCGATGGCCGCCTCGGATTGCCAACATGAGATGGGGACAACATAAGGGGAGGGGGCTCCAGCTCGAGACTTCGCCGCGATTCGCTCCCAGACGAGTGAGCGCCCGAGACAACCTCTGAATTTGCTCGGAACGAGGCTCCAGCTCGAGACTTTCTCGGGACTCAGGGTCCCAGGTGTCACAAAACACATGTCTTCGACAGGGTATTCCGATGGCCGCCTCGGAATGCCAACACGAGGTGGGCACACCATTGGCAGGGGCCTCCAGTTCGAGACTTCCCCGCGATCCACTCACAGAAGAATCAACGCCCGCGACATCCTCTGAATTTGGTCTGGAAGGAGGCTCCCGCTCTAGATTCCCTCGCGATTCAGGCTCCCAAGTGCCACCACATCTTTACTTGTACAGCCTATCAGAATGACCGCGGGGATCCTATAGGGAGGAGATTCCGCTCGAGACTTCCTCACGATTCACTCCCAGACGAATCTACGGCCCACATCCTCAAGGTTTATGCGTGAATGTGTGGGTGAGTGTACGTGCGTGTTTGAATGTGCGCGATGATGGTGGTGGTGATGATGATGATGATGATGATGCTGATGTTGATGATGATGATGTTGATGGTGCTGATGATGATGCTGATGATGCTGATGATGCCGATGATGATAATAATGCTGCTGCTGATGATGATGCTGATGATGCTGATGCTGATGATGCTGATGACGATGATGGTGGTGATGGCGATGTTTTTGATGATGATGATGATGATGATGACGGGATGATGCTGATGGTGGTGAGTATGGTTCTGAGTGTGATGATCATATTGGTGATGATGATGATGAGGATGCTGATAGCGATGGTGGTGGGGAAGATGACGATGATGACGATGGCGAAGATGACGATGATGATGATGAGGAGAATGAAGATGAAGATGAAGATGAAGATGATGATGATGATGATGATGATGATGACGATTCATTCATTCATTCATCCCCCTTGTGAGCTCCCTGGCCAGCAGAAGGTCAAGGCAGTAGAACGCTGAAGAACCTGGAACTCGGGTCTGTGGGCATTTACCCTTCTCGGCCAAAAGAACAACTGTGTCTTAACTCACCACACGAGCAAGAGCACAATCAATGGATTCGGCACTCTATGGCACTGGCCCCCTGAGCACAGCCCCTCCTATAGGGCCAAGAAGCTCCAGGAGGGGAAAGGTACTCGAGGCCCTCGAAGACTGACTTCAAGGCGCCGCTCACGCCAGTGACTAGCCTAGATAGCCCGCAAAAACCGAAACTGCCCAGACTCCGAAAGCACTCGGACCACGGAAACCTCCCTGGGCTCAGAAGCGAGAGAGGTCTCAGGAGGAGGAGGAGGAGGAGGAGAGGCCCGAGTAAAAAAGAAACCTGGAGTTTCTACACCGCCTGCGGAGCTCGCGCGAAAGCGCTCAGAAGGTGGCCTCTCTCGTCCTCGCGTCACCCCCACTCGGCAGGCTGCGCCTGGTACTCCCCGGGGTTCACCAAGCTCTGAATGACTTTCCGCACGTTGGGGCCTTTGGGTGGACTGCCTGCTTTTTTGATACTGCCTGCAGCCCTCAAGATGCACGTCTGGATCTCGAGCGCCTCTGCTCGAAGTTCGGGAGTCGTGAAGAGCTCGATGCGATACATGTCCTCCTGCCAGTTGGCCTGGCGGAAGGCCTTCTTCTGGTAACATACGATAACTTTGTCCTCGATGTCTCCCACACCTTTCACGGCTTGGGAGTGGGCCAGCACGCTCGCCTTCGCCTCCGCGGGGATCGTCGCGTCGTTCACGATCGACATGCACAGGCCGACCCACACGTGGAGATGCGCCCACTTGAGCTGTGCCAGCTGCTCTTGATTCCCCGCTTGCTTGTACTGCGTCTTCGCTTCCTCGTAGGTCACACCCGCTTCGCGCATGGCGGTCAGCTGCGTGCGCGCACCCTTCACAAGAGCCACGAGAGTAAGACATCCCGCAAACCGACGAGACATCAGGTCGAGCCCCACGACGGTCTTCGCCGTGTTCACCACCAGGGAACGATACTCCTCGTCGAAGTTGCCTCCGACCGCGCGCCGCGCGGCTGCGCGACCGTCGCCGGCTGCCGGTTGCCCCGCGGCGCCCTGACCCAGGCGCCTCTGGAGCTGATCCATCTGGTAGATCGGCGAGGGCAGGTGCGACTGGGGCGTCACACTCAGGAAGAGTTTGAAAAACCTCACGATCAGCTCGAACCACAAAATGCTTACGAACGTGTTCGTGGAGTAGAGGGACACTGGAGGCCTCATATTCCCCAAAAGGGCACACGAGCGACGCTGGTTGCTGGAGCCCCGCGAGACCTGCTGAAGCACTCCCCCCACGCTGTTTGGGACATCCATGGCGTTTAACGCGGACTTCGACATGATGACGAAGCGAGTCGAGCGAACTGAACGTTCTGAGACACCAACTGCATTGATTTGAAAACACTGCGATCCGATGCGGCACGAAGATTTGATGAGCTCGTCGTTTATGACACCGAAGGGCCCGTCGGGATTGAAATACCTGGGCACAGACCGCGCCGTCGTCGAAAACGCCGTCACACGGAAAATCTCCGAAACTGCGATTTTGAAGAGCTGGTGGATTGTGTAACCTATCATGTTCATGCGGTCGTATATAGCATAGAAGATCACGATCGGGGCGAGGAGTGATGTATTCTCTGGCAGAAAGAGAGCAAACCAACCTTTCTCCTGGAGCACCTCGCGCACGCGAGGCTGCACTCGACCCTGAACATCAAGGTCATGACAGAATTCACGAAGATATGGATTACAACCGTGGCGTGGGCGACCTGATGAGGTAAGCTGGCCGCGATCCTCGCCGCCGAGAGCACCCGTCAGCGCTGCCAGCAAACAAAGGTTGTTCTGAGGCTCCTGGGCAATCTTCCAGAGCCATTGCAACCGTCTAAAACGCACAGTACTCTCCAAAGTAGGCAAACGAAGTTCTTCCCTAACTCGTTCATTAGTCCAGGTACGTACTCGTTCAACCCCTCCTCCCACCTCCTCGCGTTCACAACTAGCACCCTGGAGTAAAACTCGTAGATGGGACTGATCAAAACGATCTAGCACATCAGAATCCTTGCGAGTCCAAAGCCGAGCCTCTCCCCCAGAAAGCATAGCCCCACGTACCATACTCTGATAAACCAAGCGTTTGATCCTCCTCCTAGCCTTGGAAGTCCAAAAACGTCCCAGAGCACACCACCCAATGCGAGCCGCCGTCAATCTCTGATCTGTCTCATAGTAAATCCACCCGTCTAGATTGTGCCAGCCCCCCAAGTGTCCAACCCATTGTTTAGCCGTACCCTTATACCTAATAGAGCCACGCTGGTGGTAGAAGTCCTGCATCTGTTCAGCAGAGCCTCGACCATGGCATCGAAATAAAATCTCTTTCTTATCTCCATTCTGGTCAAGCTCGGCGGTGTCCGTGACCACCTGCTTGAGGCCATCATCCCAGGCCTGCATCTTGTCAGACGCCAGCTGTGCCTGAGAATCACCGTGCAAAAGCCCGATGCTAGTCATGTCGTCGGCAAAAGTGGTAAAATATACATTGACCGTCTCACCTGTGACGGGTTCACGAACTCGAAAAAACTGAAATTCCTCCTGCTCCTCCGTGATTTCGATCCAGGTCTGGATGCGGGGGTCGCACACACATGTAAAACGAGACGGAGCCGCGGCGTCGCCCTGGAGGTCCCCGCACCCCAGATCCAAGAGAGCCCATTCCCCACTGTTTGAACCGAGATATGTCATCGCTCGTCGACGTCGATGTTTAACGATGTGAGCCGAGTCGACGTCGAGCGCGGCATCGATCACACTGTCGAGGGCCTGGTGGGAGACGGAGGCGAAGGCGTTAGCCATGTCGTAGAACGGTTCAATCCAACTACGGCCGAGCTGGGAGAGGCGCCACTGCATACAGCGCATCTGCAAAATAGACTGCTCCCTCCTACGTCCAGTCTTAAAACCCGTTGAGTTGTGATAATTGTGAACATTACGTCGAGCCCACAGAGCACCGTGGTAAGACTTGCCTACAGGGTCCAGGAGGTGGATGATCCGTTCCGCTTTGCATTTAGTTTTTCCATTTCCCTTGGGGATGGGGCAGGCTTCGCTCACATGCCAGATGTTTGGGGTCTCTCGGGTCCTTCGGATAGCCAGAAAAAACTGCAGAACCAGATTATGAAAGGGTCCCTCTCGAAGAAAACCTTGATCAACATCTCGGTGTCGAAAACCCATAAGCCAGATTTCCCTCGGAATCGACCAGGCGGGTACTTGCTTGCGTGCTTTAGATCTGGTAAGGCTCTTGACGGTGCCCCAGAGGTCCCTGTGCGCCTCGGCGTGTTGCTCCACTAACTGCTGCAGAACTTGCCAACTCACCCGGCCTGGCACGAGGTCCGTGCCCGAAGCTGAAGAGGCGGTGGCGTGCTGCTGTGCCAATTCCAAAAGAGAAGAACGGCGCGCATCAGCATCATGAGGTATATCGCGTACAACTCCTGCGACGTCCAGAGGCTGCTCAGCATGTCCCCGAAGGACAAGTGAGGCTGACACCCCACCTTCAGCGCCAGGAAGTTGCATGTGTTCAATCCACTCTTGACAAGTAGGTGGTTGAGCAGAGATCAGTAAAAACTTACGCTTCTTGGGGCCCAACTGTGTCCCCGCCAGTTTCCGACTAAGACGCCATACATCTCGCCATTGGTGTTGGTCTTCACAGTACAAAAACATAAAAGATATTAACGAAAACAAAGAAAAAGGAAGAAAAAAAACGGAGAAAAATAGTAAACAGAAATCAACAAACGAGCAGACTAAAAGTTGTGTGCTTGTTCTTAATACAAAACCCAAGATAAAATTGAAAATATAAAAAGCACAAGAAAAAATGCAGCCAACAAAAAACAAAAAGAAGAAAACACCAAAGCTGCAAGCTCAGCGGCCCAGCCGTCTTGCGCCCGTCGAAAATCTCGTCGTCGTAATTTGCGTAGCCTTTTCAGCACTTGAACAAACTCTGCGGCAAGTTGACCATTCACGTCGGCATTCGGCGTCCTTCTCCGTTGCCACATAGTTGCTCGAATATCCTTATAACGTTGATGAGTAGCCTGAGTATCTTCAGCGACAGGAAAAGGGCGATAGGTGTTAGCAGGCATCCCATATCTCTGGATAGCTACCTCGCGAATGCCATGATGCAGAAGATGCCAAGCCTCATCCACCAAACCACGAAGACAACACGTACGGATATTGTTTTGTGTCCAATCCTGTCGCGCCCAGTTCTCCAACTCCCCTTCAAATTGCATGCGGCCGTCTTGATTCTGGAGCCAGTCTGACATAATCTTATCCCGATCCCATGTCAAGGTATCTGCTGTGGGTGCCTCGTGCCACTGTCTGCAAAGAAAGTCCAGAACCAGCGGGCAATGATCAATATTCTTGCTTGCTGCACACGTGGATTTTGAAAGTTGTAGGTTGAAGCCGTCGCGATACCACACCTTGATCTGCTGGACTCTATGCATGGCCGTCTTGGGGAGAGCGATGTAGTCGATACGCGTCCGAGATTGCCCAGCTCCAAAGAAAGTGGGGCCAGCCCCCTCCAGAACATGAGTGTTGCAAAGAGCCAGATGATGTTGATTCAGTAATGTACGCCATAGTGTACCCGATGGAGTCTCCACTGCAGGTGCTGCATGTCCAATAGCATCGCCCACGGGGGTGAGCTGCAGAGTGTTGCCGATCTTCACGTAGCCGCAATGGAAGTTCCCGTCGCACATCAATATCGGAGTACAGCGAGCAGGTAGACTATCCAAGACATCTGAAATCCAACGTAATAGCTTGGTCCGCCAGATGCGACCGACCTCGTCGTGAGGCTCGAGCATGGAGTACACACTGATGAGGCACAGGTCGTAGTGAGTGTTCCATTTATACCGAACAGCGCCGCCTCGACCCCGGAGTCCTGCAGGTGGTTGCCAGTTCTGAACCCGTCGACAGTTGGGGAAGATGGTGCGATCCACGGCGATCATGCAACCTGCCGAGACGTTAGTGCCGTTACGTCTGGCACGGCGTCTGCCCGTCGCCTTCAGTACCTCCGTCGGCCATTGCCAAACTTGCCGCTTGCCAACTCGTTTCCTTACAAAGTCCAACGATTGATCGAAAGCAATGTGTTTTAAATTCTGACATGTCCCTGTGAGAGAGACCACCTGCGCCGTCGTGAAGTGGGAGAGCACGTCCGTGAGGTTGCGGCGTACTGGTAGAGCTTGGGGATTGTATTGAACGCAACGCAATCTCCATCCTTCAGCACTGGTGGCCTCAGGCGCGAGCGGCCAAGTCATCGAGCCTCGTCTTCGAGGCGAAGACATCATCATTCGAAGTGTTGGCCTGTATGGATGTCCCACCCGCCCTAGCAGGTAGAACGGGGCGCCGCGCTGCTAGAAAGGTCTAAGAAAAACGGCAGCGCTATGATGATGATGATGATGATGATGATGATGATGATGACGATGACTGTGATAATGATGATGACGAGTGTAGAAAAACGAGACTGAATAGGGGGTGAGGCTCCTGCGCGGGGTGTGTGCAACGAAGTCATGATCCCCACTTAGACTGTAGGGGAACACATGTATGGTAGCGGTCGTCGTCGCGACCAAGGGGAAAGCCGATCCGAGAAATCCACGCTGAGCTTAGAGAATATGTCGGGTATGCAATATGTAATCTTCTTCGGCGTGGGCAGCGTCCCCAATTGGCTTCCAACTTCTTTCAGAAAGAACTGGGCCAATGCGCTGGTCTGGCCGGCTTGCGGCAGTCCGTTGCCGCCACTCGCCGCACGATTCTGGTCACGAGTTTGACTGTGCGAGGCTCGCAATTTGCATTGCGTTGCATCGCAATGCGTTGCATTGCTTTGAAAGTGTTTCCATCGTACTGCGTTGCTTTTCATTGCTTCGCATTGCTTTTCATTGCCTTGCCTAACTCAGCTCTGCGTTGCGTTACATGGTTTTGCAAAAAATAGTGCTGCAACGCATTGTTTAGAACTGCGTCGCCTTGCGTCGGGCTGCTTTGCTTTGATTTGCATCACACTTACCACAAATATATCATCGCAGACCTTGCACACCATACCTCAAACACATAGATTGCACCGCTCAACATGCACCACTCTGCTTACGCATCTCAAAGCTTGCTACACGTTTAATGCACCACCGAACTTCCACGACAGAGCTTGGCAACATACCAAAATCCACCAGCCCTCTGGGCGCAGGTGGTCAAACGAAGACTTCCGTTCCTCTTCTGCTCCCTATAAATAAACACTCCCTCCCCCAGGCGACTGGGGGTCAACCAGGGTCCATGACGACACCCCCCCCACCACTCCTTGCAAAAAACAATGCAAACCACGCTCTGCCTCCAAATTCGGAACATGCGCAACCAACCCGATGCGCCCCCCCCCCACCATCCCTGTCAAAAAACAATACACAATACACTTGGCGGCGGCGGCGGCGGCGGCGGCTGCGGCGGCGGCGGCGGCGGCAGCGGTGGCGGTGGCGGTGGCGGCAGCGGCTGCGGCGGCGGCGGCGGTTTGGCAACGGGGAGGGGCGGCGGCGGCGGCGGCGGTGGCGGCGGCGGCAAGCGGCGGCGGCGGGCAGCGGCGGCACGGCGGCGGCGGCGGCGGCTGCGGCGGCTGCGGCGGCGGCGGCGGCGGCAGCGGCGGCGGCGGCGGCAGCGGCGGCGGCGGCGGCGGATGCGGCGGCGGCGGCGGATTGGCCCAGAGTAGCTGCCCATCCAAAGGCGACTGCTGAATATGCTGAGGCTCGGGCCAGGCTCGGGTGCTACATATGTGTTGGGATGGCGGGTGAGACTGAGCGAATCGGCTTGCGGGCGGGGGGGGGTCTTGACCCCTCCCCCTGCCCCCTCCCCTGGACTTGGACGGGGGGGGGCCGCCAGGTGTCGAAGCGTCCAAAACGGCCTCGGCGAGAAAGCCAAACTCATCGGTTTGACAAGGGTTTTGGTCCCATGTTGGCCTTTTTTCGGGGGGCGACGCTGATTCAGAAACACCCCTTCTTTGATCGATCTCCTGCGAGATGGCCCCGCGAGCGCTCCCAATGCTCCCCAGGGTGCCCCAAGAGGGCCCCAAGAGGTGGCCAGGAGGCCCCCAGAGGCCCCCAAGAGGCCCCCCCCAGATGCCCCCAAGATGCTCCCAAGAGACCCCCCAGAGGCACCCAAGACGCTCCAACAGGCCCCGACGGCAATGCCAAACTCAAAATTTGTACTACAAGGTGTTGGCCACATTTTGGCCTCCTGGGAGGGGGGGGGCACTGCTTCAGATGACTCCAAAAGCGCCTGGGAGAGCCCAAGATGACCTCCAAGATGGCTCACGATCTCCCAAGATGCTTCAAGATGGCTCCCACGATGTTCCAAGACCGCTACAAGACGGCTCCAAGTGGCCAAATAGCTCCCCTAGGAGGCCCCGAAAAAGCCCCAATCATTCCAAAACCTTAGGACAATCAATGTTTGTTTCTCATTTTCTCGCCGAGGTCACAAGATGGCTCTAAGATGACCCAAGAACGACCAGGCGTGCCCCCTGTTGGGCCGAAGCCCTGACCTCTGGCGCCCCGTGGCGACAAGGTCCAATTCACATACCTGGCGATTCAGCTCCCATGGTACCCGCAAGTTTGCAGCCTCCTGGCAGCCCCACCAGCTTGCACTCCCCTCCTTCGGCGCTGGTTTCCAGCCTCGGCGGTTGCAGCATAGCCCCGGCGCAGCTGCTTCCCCCAACGGTAAGTCCTGCTTAGCTCTGCACGCGCGCCGGCAATTAGGTTCGCTCGTAGCCCGAGTTGGCTATACCTGCTGCGGGCGCCTTCGCCTCTGGCCGCGATGGGAAAAAACACCAGCCCATCCAGAAACGCTGCCTAGAGGAATTGCTTCGATCAGGGAAGTGGGCAGCACACAGAGAAAGGGTCCCCCAGTGGAAGCCTCTTGGAGCGTCTTGACGGCCTCCTTGGCGGTCCCGGACGCCTCTGAGAGCGTCGTGGGTGCCTCGGAGAGAATCGCTGGGCCTCTTGGGGGTCTCTTGGGAGCCTTTTGGAGGCCTCTTGGGCGCCTGTTGGGGCCTCCTGGGGCCTCCTCGGCGCCTCTTGGGGCCCTCTTGAAGCGCTCTTGGGGAGCCTTGAGAGCGCTCTTGGAGCCCTCAAGAAAGCTGAACCACTCCTGAGTGGACCGGCGGACCAACATCCCATAGGGCCAGCTGACAGGGAACCAGAAGCTAAGGAATGCAAGCACTCGTGCCGGAACTGGCCAGAACGCACGTCACCTGAAACTGGTGGGGTTACGCGAAGCGTCTAGAACTTCATTCCATATCATAGATGACGCTGTTTGGTGTTAACGCCAGTAAATAAGAATCTGCATGTTTTGGCAATGTCTGGTAGGGGTCGTTAACAGGGGGGTGACGATCACGCTTGGGCGGGGGCCTGCTGCGATCGACATAGCATGCGCGCGAACACCAACATGGGGGGGGTCCAGCCCCCCCCCCGGCGTACTATCGTTAGGGTTCCCTGGGGGGGGCGGTAACGACCGTCACGACGCATAAAAATAATATGCAGCTGCCGGGCCGGGAGGTTTTCATTTTGGACCTCCGAGATGGTTGCGGAAAACATGGGTACGGTGCCCAACAAATGTTGTCCCAAACCGACAGTGGCCGCTGAAGGGCGGGCGGCATCCTGTCTCAAATGAACAACCTTCGCGGCGGCGCAGAAAAAAAAAAAAAAAAAAAAAAAAAAAGAACGGCGCAGAAAGCGAGTGATCAAAATTTGCAGGAACTGCTGTTGGGCATCGTACCCATGCTTTCCGTACCCAATTCGATCGTGCAGAACCGTAATAACGACGAAGGCCGATTCACAGAAGAAGAAAAACGCCATGAACATAAACTTTCGGCGTTCCGCGCGGATTTCTTGGATCTGCGCCACCCCGCTCCCTGGCGCGCGGAGTGCGCCATGGGCGGCGCTAGAGCCGCCTGAGTGAGCCCAGCGCGGATCCAAGAAATCCACGCGGAGCGGCACAACATTATTCTTGTGGCGTTATTCCTTCCTCGAATTCGGGCCATCAAGCCAGACGTGTCCCGATCATGCCGAACGTGGGGCTTGGGCTGGTTTTAGGTCCGGCGTGTCCCCCTACACGCGGATTTTGCACAAAACATAGGAAGTCAGGCAATATTCAAAACATTCTCAACAAATCGTCCGCAGACTATTTCTTGACTATTTTGGGGATTTTCTTCTAGGAGAGTTTGGACGCCCGTAATGGGTGCGGAAAAAATTGCTACAATGCCAAACAACAAATGTTGTCCCAAACCGACAGTGGCCGCTGTTGGGCAGGCGGCCTGCTGTCTCAAATGGACACAGGCCGCGGCGGCGTGGACAACGAATTCTGTTAAACATGAACAGGAACTGCTGTTGGGCATTGTACCCATGCTTTCCGTACCCTTGGTGGGCTATGGATACGACAGGGCCTTTTTTTACCGGTTCCGTGTCCGCTTGTTTGCCGGATCCGACGCCGTTTTTTCACCGGTTCCGTCGCCGTTATTCTACAAGTTCCCGCTCTGGTTCCAATCCTGGAGCTCTTTTTGTTGCCCTTTCCAGTCGCCGTTTTTTGCCGCTCTTCCATGTTCAAGGGGCACTCTGTCGGAAACGGTGCAAAAGCGGCCCTGCCGTTTCCGGGGCCCCCTAAATGCGTAAATACCCATCTCGTTCGTGCAGAAAGGGGGACAAGGGGGACCGACTTGCGGCTTGGGCCGGTTTGCAGCTGCGCCGGGCGGCTCCCAGGCGTGCTCCACGCGGCGGCGCGCGCCCGCAGGCCGTGGGGCGCCGCGCACGGGGCGGCAGGCGCTCGACCCGGCGTGCAATCGAGAGCGGCCAAGAGGGGGGCGTCCAAGAGTTGAGCAGGGACCGACCGTCCCGGCATTCCTGTAGTCCTACCACGAAATGCTCTTAGAACCCAAACATGTTCTAAGAACAAAACCAATGTTCTTAGAATGTTGACCCGGTGTGATAGAAGAAGACAGGCTCCGCCAGAAACGTTCAAAAGAACATTTCGTGGAAACCACAAGAGGTTCTCAGAACATGGTTTGGTAGGGTTATAGGCGAGCCAGGACGCTTCGCCACTGCTTGAAAGAGGGGGTGTGCAAATCATGGCCGGCGGCATGTGCGCGGCCCAGGGGGGGCGCCAGGGACGTAATAAAATAAGAGGAGGCGCCACGAAATCTGGGGAAATATCATGGCCCACGCCATGATATCCCCCCCCCCTAGTCATCACCCCCCTCTTTGCCGCCCCCGATACAGTGGAGGCCCGACCACAA